GGGTTTGTTTTTTTTTGCGTGTGTGTTGAATGGTGCCCTCTGGTGTTACAATCGATTTTTGCAGATAAACGCACATAATTTCAATATAGGATGCGCTGAATTATGTTTTACATTGTGTGCTTCAGTTCCGAAAATAAAATTGCTAAGAATTTCTTTATGGTTGTTAGTAGGATGTCCAGTAAACTTGTTTAGTTTCTTCAATGGTAGATGGTTGTATATCTGAAAATTCTCCATCATTTATTTATTAATAACTCAATTCATGTATGTGTCACCTTTGTGCCTTCAGTTCAGCCGGTAAGAAAGGACCTAGGCAAAAATATCCCTACTGCAATAATGTTGAGTGAGAGACGGAGACATCTTTCTCCTTCCTTATATATTTCTTTAATCATTGTGATCACTGAATTATTAAAGTAACCTGCACTACTGCAGTATACTAACCTGTACCTAGGTATGATACTTGAAAACAAATTAGGTTAAGCTGCCTCGAGAATTGACTTTCCCTGGTTTATTTTTCTTTTTTTTTTCTTCTTTTGAGTACTTTCTGCACTATCTTGTACCTGCCACTAACAACACATATGTGACTCATATTGTCCAGTTGTTGAGATGAGTCAGAGAACCGTCTGCATATTGAGTTCTGGGAAGAAATAACCTGCTACTCTCATTAACAGAAAGACATTCTCCACTTCTGCTTGCGCTCTTCATGGATGCCCTGCTCTCCCCATCAGAAGTGTGTAAATGTAGACAAAGATTGAAAGAACTAGATGTTACATGTGTAAAATATGCTTGGTAGCCTAGATGTGCTTATGCCCTTTTTAAGGTACTTTATCCTGAAATATGTGAAGCAACATAAAGACAGATGTTTTTAGGGCAGGCATAATGGCAGGTAGAATTGCAGGCATTTCTTTTTGCAGAACTCCATTTCTTTCTGGTTTATTGCAGTGCTGCCATCTATCAGCAGGACTGTTTAATTGGAAACGCACAGAATTGTTATCAGGATTGTTTGCAGTGCCTTAATCTTCAGATTAATGGCTGTCAGTTAGTAATGACTTCATTTAGCTAGATCTGGGTCATTTTTGAAATGTGTGTGGGGAAAATAAGCTGCAGAATAGAAAACGAACCACAGTGTAGCATTTGTAACATTGCCTGATGGGTGAATCAGGCACACGTTATTCAGTTCTGTTTACAGTTCTGAGAAGACGTATAATTTCTGCCCATGGGCAGAAATGGGATGGCTCTCTCAAGTAGGTGTATGCTTTTAAAAAGGGCAGTGCTTTTGGTCAGACTTATTTCTGAAGCCTCGGAAATAGCAGGCAGATTAAATCTGTATGTGTCCTAAGAGTACAAAGCATTGAGAAAGTTGGTGAGCTTTTTAATTCCTTTTCTTTCTTCCCGTGGATCTCAGAGATTTGTGACTCAAAGTGTGATTATTTATTTATTTGTTTTCCTAGTAACAGTGGTGATTTTTTTCCTTTCAAACATAAGCAGTTCTATCTCAGGATTTTTTGTTTTCCGTGGAGTGCTGCGGGAGGGTGATGTGTTACTGTTACTCCACCAGGTGGAGCTCTTGACATAGGCAATGAACGTGGAATGTGTATCATTGGTGAATCTCAAGGAGCTCTGTCGAAATCCAAGTTCAGATCGTAGATCATCAACTAGGTCATCTTTAGTTCCCGTCCTTCCAGAAAGCAGTATTATGTAGAACATAAAATATCAACTACTGTTTTAATACGGTAGGTATTGGTGAAGGCAGTGCATTAATTGTGAATATTATTATTATTTTGTAATTTTAAGCACTTACGAGTTTGAATTAAATATTATGTTAATACTCTTGTGAATTAACAACCAGTACATTTTTATTTTCATTACCCTGAGATATAAGTTTTAGTTTTAATACTAAGAAAAATTTTAATACTAAGAAAAAATAACAAATACTGATTCTTATAATGGTGAATACTGCACAGCCTATGCTACACTGTATGCAGTTCCAGAATTTGTGTTGTCTGGAGTTATTTGATAACATTTTAAATGCATAAGAAATCTGATAGCAAACTAACTATGTCACTCAGTGTTTCATAAACATGTCTGCCAGTGATGGTAGATTTGAATGTGATGCAGAAGTATCAGGAGTGTTGAACTGCAGCTACTGGAAAGCCCCAGAACACCAGGGAGCAGCTAAATCCAAAGGCACTGCTATGACCACAAGCAGACACTCAGGCAGTACAAACCCAGTGGTGGAGTTCCCCTGGTGGCATCTTTTTACAGTCTTGTTCTCATTTTAGGTATATTTGGCTTGTGGTGTTTTACTGCTGTTTTCACTTATGAGTATGTTGAAGAGTGTGAGTACACACTGATACAATTCTACTTTCATGATAGTGATACTCTTTTTCCACTTTTCTTTGAGAACAGTGTAAGGAGACCTAAACTTGGAGGGAAGTAGCAACAAATAGAGCTTTTTTCTCATTTTGGTTTTGCATCCGGCATAGACATTGTGTGTGGCCCATGCAGGGAGGACTTGTGCATGCACAGTATCTTTGAAGGCTCAGTCGGGTGCCTGTAGTCCTTTCACTCTTTATTTCTGCTCCAGAAATGGCACTCTGGGGCAGGTGGGTGTCCCTCTGTGCCCACCCTGCAGGTTTCAGCACCTCTGACCTTTTCTTCTAGCAATGCGCATACAACTAGCTTGTGGTGTTTCAGAGCACTCAACATCAGTTGTCACACCTTTCTCTCATCCCTTCTCCATTCTTCTAAAGGTATAAGTGATACAGCCTACATGTCTCCCGTCATTTCCTGATGCCAACAACTTGCCCAATGAGCTCACTTAATAGGAATACATCTGGCACTTTTCATTACCACAGCCAGTTCTGCTTCCCACTCTGACCAGTGCTTGCCCTTGGTGTGAGTGTTCCTGCTGGCAGCTGGGGTCACTCCTCATCTCCAACCACAGTCCTCATGGCCCAGCTGCTCTGGGCATGCGAGGTGTCTCTTGCAGGCAGCCTGCCAGGCACCACAGGGGGAGATTGCCTGCTTGTCACACTGTGCTCCTTCCAGCTGTCTTATCACACTGCAGTGGCAGAAAGGGTCAGGGGCATTTTCCCCTTTGTGAACCATTTCACAGGTCAGCAGCTGTGCATTTTCCTCTGGTGCACTTAGGAGGAAGGAGCCCACCTTTCAGCACGTTACCCTTATTTTCCTATCATAAGCAAAGGAGGATAATCCATGGCTTTCAGGGATTGATTCATCAGGCAAGCAGGAATATTCTACTGTGTGGATTTTATTCTAAGAGAATATTTGTAAGCAAGCAGGCTCTCAGGAACTGGCTTTCTTTCTTTGCTGTGGGGGACAGCTTGTTGCCTTTCTTACTTCTCCAGTTTCAATTCCTTCTCTCAGTATATTTCCCAAGGTCAAAAGGAACTAAAAAAGCATCAAGAATGTAGTTAGGAGTGTTTTAATCTTCTGTGAAAAGTCAGGTTCTTACCAGGCACTCTGCCATAGTGTTGTTGAGCAGGCACTGATGACCCAGACTGGCAGAACTCAGCTGTCTGTTTAGAACAGAGGATCTTGAAGACTGTGGGAAGTCAAACTTCTGTGAGAAGGTAGAAAAGAATGTGCTTTCATAGAATTGTAGATCATAGAATCACAGAATGGCTTAGGTTGGAGGGGACCTTAAGGATCACACAGTTCCAACCCCTGTGCCATGGGTTGGGTGCCACACTCCAGATCAAACTGCCCAGCACCCCATCTGACCCAGATTTTGTGCCTCCAGGGATGGGGTGTTCACAGCTTCTCTGGGCAGCCTGTGCCAGCACCTCACCATCCTCTGAGTAAAAAATGTCTTTCTAACGTCTAACCAAAACCTCTCCTCTTTTACTTGATAGCCATTCTACTTGTCTTATCAATATCAGACTGTAATAAGTCAGTCTCTCCTATCTGTAAACTCCCCTCAAGTACTGGAAGGCTACAAGAAGCCCTCCAAGCCTTCCCTTCTCCAAGCTAAACAAATCTAACTCCCTCAACCTTTCTTCGTAGGAGAGGTGCTCCAGCCCTCTGGCCATCTTTGTGGCCCTCTTCTGGACCTGCTCCAACACTCTGTAGCCTTTCCATATCTGGAGCTCCAGGCCTGGATGTCTTTCCCTCTGCTCAGCAGTTCTGGGGGCTTTGGCTCACTGTTCTCTGGCTCTTAAACTTCAGACCAAAGTCTGATACAGACAGCATCAACTCCATTGGAACTTCAGCCTCCTTTTCCTCTGTCTTCTGATTTCAATGTATTTATTTTTAAACAGCTTTGCCTTACAGATTTATGGAGAAATCTTTGTAATAATGGAGGAGATTAGAGGCTAAAAAAACTCAATTTCAAGATTTTCACGCTCCTGTTTTTTATTTAATTATTGAATGCTCCCTGTCCAGAGAGACTTTGTACCTTTGATTTCCCATGCAGTTCTCTCTATCTCTCTCTTTGCCCTTGGGCATGTTTGGGGTGCTGTAGGAGGGTGGTACAGAGGCTGCTCCGAGAGCAGACAGGCCTGGCTCTGGCAACTGCTCTGGATGTTTTGGCTGGGGGCATCTGACATGGATGCAGTTGGATAACTCTGCTCTTAGAAGTGTTAGATTTGTACGTTTGCACTTTCTTATATTTAGGGAAAAGTGGAATTTGTTAGAAAAGAGATCCATGCCATTTGAGGTGGTCAGAGAAACAATCTTTTGTATCTGTGTTTGAGCATTAGGGCATAAACAACAGACCAGTGAGTCTCAGGTCAACCATGATGTAACTGGTTAAGCACCTGGATTAATGCCGTAAGGGCTGGGTTCAGTTTTCAGTTTTGTACTACCTCTTTGTTTTAATGCTGATTTTGGTGGAGTGCATCACAAATAATGGTACCATAACATCAAGCTTGCATGCTTTTACTTTTTTTTCTAAGAGAGATTTCAATAAAGATTCTCGCGTACTGCATTTAAGTGATGGGGAGGAAGTAAACTTTGACTTTCTTATTTGTATTTAACAGGTCTGTATATGATGACCAACCAAATGCACATCAGAGGTTTATGGAAAAACTAGATGCCTGCATACGTAACCATGACAGGGAGATAGAGAAGATGTGCAATTTTCACCATCAGGGCTTTGTGGATGCTATCACAGAACTTCTTAAAGTTAGAGCTGATGCAGAAAAATTAAAGGTAAGGAGCTAGTTTGTCAGGGTTTTCTATTATTGCCTTTGAATTAAAAAAAAAAAAAAAAAAGGAGGGACTCAACTTTTCTATTGAAGAAATAGAGTTTTCATGACCTATCACAAACATTCTGTTATTTGAAACCTTTTTAAAAGTGGAATTTGTAGGATTTATGATGAATACTGTTTTTTTCTGAGGCAGTAATGCATTTATTTTAAAGTTAAATATTTTATTAGGTCTAATTCTCATTTTCTCATGCACTTTCAGAAAATGGTAGCAAAACAGTTTTGTGGTTTCTAGAGGCTTTCTCACATGGCAACAAGTAGCAAAGTATTGGCAAAACCATAATTTCTTATGTAGGTCTGCTTTTTCTAATCACGTGTTTACATGTCGGACCTTAGAAAGTTTCAAATTTTGATTAGATTTTAGTAAGATGACTGCAATTATCCCTGAAAAATATGTTCTATTTACATTGTAAATGAGTAGGAGAGTAGGTGGAGTTATTAGTTTTCTTTAGAAACGAGAACTAAGATTTACTCACAAATGAGAATGCATTATAGTGAATTATGAGATCCGTCCCTTTTAGCTCTCTTTACACTTTTGAGAGCAAAATATGCACACCAGACAGAAAGAGTATAGTTCATCAGAGGTTATGATTAGAAGAGCATTATATAAAGGATATTCAGATAACAAGAGACCAAATACAGCGTCAATGAGGTCATTGAGCATCTTTGTTCAGAAATTAATGAGATTTTTAATAAACTAGAATGTGCTTCCTTATTATGATGACCTAATGAGTCACTTACTATGTGGGAAAATCTGAGGTCGAGCTTTGCCTGCACCTGCAGCATTAAAATGTTGCTGTGGTTTGGAGATTTCCACGTTTGATGTTAATCAACCACCCAGTGTTTGCATTCAGCAAAGTATGAATGTTTAATTACCATAAAATGCAATCACCATTTCTTACAGACAATGAATGGCCCATAGAGCTCATTGAGGTTATCAAAAAGGGACCAGTGGTCAATTGGGTCAATGATTTGAATTGTTTGACAGACCTGCAGAAACAAGGAAAGTTCAAAAATCCCAAGTAAATTTGAGAAGTTTGCCACAGAATCTGTTAGAAAGAACTGTCATAAGTAATTGAAGTTAACGAAAGCCCTTTGCGATCAAAAGTTCAAGTTCAAGCTGTAGAGTTAATTTGAATTTGCATTTCTTTGTTCCAAGTTTCTCATGAAGCATGATCTGATTACAAGGGTGAGCAGTCACATCAGGGCAATATATGCATATTTGTCTAACAAAGGTGAAATTATTTTTAAGGTCCAAGTTACTGATACCAACCGAAGGCTTCAGGATGCTGGGAAAGAGGTGAGAAAATGGTGCTTCCTATATGGGCATTATGAATATTTGTAGCAAATCAAATGTGTTTGCATAATTTAATTGTAATTTTCTGTTAAAAAACCTCCAAGGTGATAGCCCAAACAGAGGAAATCATCCGATGTAGAGTTCAGCAAAGGAATATTACAACAGTTGTGGAAAAACTACAGTTGTGTCTTCCAGGTGAGTGGCAGATGGCTAAAGATGGTTGCAAATAATAATAGTAACAAAAAAGTAAGTCATGGTGGCTAAAATACAAAAGAATTTTATTTTTTAAGTAGTGGCCCTGTAAAAAACAGTGTAGCAAAAGGATTGTGATGTTTTAGAAAGGTGTCCACATATAGATTCTGTGACTTTACAGTATTTGACATTGGGTAATTTTGCCACTTTTTGAAAAACATTGTGAAAGATATAAATAATGCAAATGAAGTATCTACATGTACTTTTAATTGTAGTCATACTTTTAATTTGCTAAAAAATAAATTTGTTCCTTATTTTTTTAAACTATTTGAATTCTTCAAAAGTTACGAATTTTTCTGTTTGGACATTGTACTTTGTTTCAGTTCCAGTTCATTGCAGTCTTTTATTATAAAGCATAAAGGCTCCAAATAACATTTCGGAAAAGTGATATTGTGGGATTGCACTCAGCTCTATAAGGATTTTCTGCTTGTAGGACTTGAGGATATGGTACTGCGGATTTGAGAATTTTTTTTGTAAATTCTTGCTGACTTATTCTGATTACAGTAGAGGGTACTGTTGTCATTTAGTGGTAACAGATCGTAGACTTGTGAAATAGATAAAGTAGTGGTAAGTGAATAAGCTTGAAATATTGTCTACTGTTCTGTTTAATCTTAGGTATTTTTTTCTTTTAAAAGCTATTATGAGGTCAGTTCCTTTTTCTTTCTCTTACCTGCATTCTAGAATCTTTTTTCTTCGTAGTTTTATCACATTACCATTGTAGAAGGAAATGAATTAGACAAATTTAGCATACCCTTTTTCATGGCTTATTTTGTTCTTTTCAGTTATATTTCCTTTCTTATTAACTAAAACCACAATAAGATGCATGGGTTAATCTGCTTGTTTTTATGCAGTGCTGGAAATGTACAGCAAACTAAAAGAACAGATGAAAGTGAAAAGGTGAGTGAATTTATTTGTATTAGCAAAATAAGCCTTCTGTAAATAAACTGATAGATTATCAAAAACTGGTGCAGACAAATAAATGTAAAAGTCCTATCATATAGACTTACATTCTTCATAATACCTGGTCTGTTTCAAGAATGCCATTCCATTACAAGTGAACAAATAGTGTACTAGATATAAGAACTTCTAAAAGCTTACTGATTGCTATGGAAAATAATGGTTAGTTGAATAGCATTAAATGCAGTGACAATATGATTATAAAACATGAAGCAAAATGGGTTTTAGGTTTGCTTTTTTTAAAAAAAAAATATTTGAGACAATTTAAGATGTGATAACAAGACCCTTAGGGAATAGAGATCTTTACATAATACATTAATATCTGCTTAGTCTGTCATAATATATTTGAATCAAATTTATAAACCAAGGGAAAAGGACATTTCACTCCATATATGTTTCTTCAGACTTGTCTGATATATTTACACAGATCTTTTGTGTATGTGAGACTATGGGAAGGACATGGAGAAAAAGTGTTGTGTCTTTTCGACTGTCTTAAGGGTAAAAAAAACAACAAACATTTTGAAAAATAGAATTCTAGAATAATGTTCTTTAATAGGTACTTTCTTCCTCTGTTGTTTCTTCACTTTTCGTCTTCTGAGGGAGCCACTCACTGTTGCTGCAGCCCCAGCGTTCCCAGTTCTCTCTGAGGCTGCTCTGCTGTCCCTGTCCCCCAGGGGCTGCTGCTGCAGCATTGTGTATCTTATGCACACCCACCTCAGCAGCGCCACAACTTTCTTCTTCCTGCTTTATACAGGATCGCGTCCACCTTACCCGCAGCTGCTTTTCATGCAGCCTCCGACACTGATTGCTCTTTCTCTTCCCTGCTGTACTTGTGATCGCTGTCATCATGTATCTGTGTGCCTGGCACCACTGCAGGAAGCTCCCACTAAGTCTGTCTGGACCTAACTTTCTCCATTTGGAACTGTCTGTGCACAGTCAGATGTGTATATTCTAGACAACAATATAAAATTGCTTTTTGACTTTATGTCTGCATTTCTCATATCTGGATTTCTATTATATGAATATCCAACACCTCTTGACATAAAGCTGGACATCTGAAAACCCTAAACAACAGCTGCCATGCAAGAGCAAATCAGCTCTAAAGCCTGGGTGCAGACATGTCCAAAACACATCAGGTATACCATACACTGCTGATCAAGCAGAGCTGCAGCAAATGTGTTGTATCTTCTGCACTAGTGGGTGTGCTACATGGTACTTGTGTACATGTGCTATCTGGGAGGCTTTTGCAGAAATATCAGTGCTTCAACAAAAATTTGAACCTGTGCTTTTGCATTACAATCAGAGCTTGCTGATGGGAACCAGTTTGGTAGATCTCATCAACTTGACTGCTCTACACTGCTTCCTCTGAACAGGACACTGACACGGCAGTAGTTTAATGTAGCTGGCAGTGTGCTGTAGCAGTGTTCTTGGAGCACCTGAGAAGAAATATGTAAACAGTCCAGTGTCCCAGCTACTCTGCTCAGAGATTGTAGTGCAGAGTATGCTGTCTGAGCTGCACCACTTCCCACTTCCTTCCTGGTCTGCAGAATCTGCTACATTTTGCATATTGTTGATGTGGAAATGCTGGGATGAGAGTCTACATTCTACCATTCCCTTCTTCTGTCAGACAAGGCAAATAACATTCTGGCCAGTAAGAGATGTTATAGTTCCTAACATCATCATGAAAGATCACCTGGTGAGATAAAATAGCAGATGGCTCTTAGTGCTTTGACTCCATGTTCACTAATAGGTTTGTAGTCTACTGTTGGTTCATGGGATTTTTGAAAAAATTATCAGTACTCTTTCAATCTAAATTTCCATTCTTTAGGAGGTATAGATCTGATAATTTTCCCATGGAAGGAGTTGCTTGCCAGACAGGAAATCTTAAATGTTACAAGTCAAGTGATGGTGTACTGAATTGAAGGGTTTAGACGTGTCATTGTCATACCATAAAAAGATCTAAGGGAAAGGGGAGATGCTGTAGCTTTGATGTACCATACCTTGAAGTCACACAAAATACAGAAAGTTTAGGTTCTGCTGCAGGCTACTGCTACAGCTCAAGTATCTCTTTCATTAGTTATACTACACTTACTACTTGGCCTGTGACTTACAATTCCTATAATATTAGCTAGAAGTGGATATTTCACGGCACTTGCGATTAGTTCAAATGGTAATTTACCTGTGGCTTACCAAGCAACAAGTCCAGAGGATGAATGCATTTTGGTCTTTATCATTAAGTGATTCTGCAGTGGCAAGGACATCCAGAACACCCCTCATAGCTGATATGTGCAAGTACAAAGAATTTAAAAACTGACCTTCTTAATCTTTGCTGTGATGCTTTCTTGGAACAACTGGGGATATGAGCATTTATAACACCTGTCAAAACGAAATGGTGGGAGAGTTTATTTTGCACAAAGATCGTTTTTCTCATAAACCTTCAGTGAGGTTTGTTAATGCAGCTAAGCTTTCATTTGTACTTATTTAAAAATAAATAAATAAATCTCTTTTTGTTTGTGTTTGTTTTGTTTTGCAGCCTTTTAGTAATAACTTCGTTATTCCACTGTCTTTAAATCTTTCGCTGTGAATAAAACTAACGTTTCTTATGTTTAAGAAAGTGAACAAGAAAGCATGGATGCTCTACACTTCTGGGGGTAGTTATTTTATGGTAAAGATTAGGATTCTGTTTTCTCAAAGACAGCCAGATTAATAAGATAATGTGGGGTTTGGCATCTGGCATATATTCTATTTTATGGAGACAGAAAGAAGATCTACTGAGGAGTCCAAAAAGCTATCGATTGGTAGAAACTTTTGGTCTCTGCCAACATGGGTTATGTTTGAACTGATGACCTAGAGGTGAAAGGCTCTGTATCCTATTTATCTGTTTCCTGAGCCATGCATAACACAAGTTGACAAGAACTATAGTTGTGAGAGAAAATAATTGACGAATCTGCTCTAAACAGACACAATTGGCTGGAAAGATTTATGAAGGGTTTAAAGTCTTAGATGAGGAAGCACAAGGGAGAGGCCTAGTTTCTCCACTGCTCTCCTAAAGACCTGTTGAGATTATTATGTATTTCGGCAGTACTTTGTGCATCTTTAGTTTTAAGTCAGAGATAAGATCACCATGCTTCATGCAGCTCTCTTGGCATGGCTACTGTATTTGGGTTTGGTTATATGTATCTGTAGAAATATCCCAGCTTCTTCAGGAGACTGTAGATCAACAGTCTAATTGGGAATTATTGAAATTGATGGCTTTGCAGGTCTTCTTTCACACAAAACAAACAAACAAACAAAACATAGAGAAACTGTTGAATTGTAAAGGCAACTGTAAGTAAAAAAATTGTTTGTGCGATGATTTGTTTTCATTTGCAATTTCTCTTCAGCATCTGTGTGAATTTGACTCTTTCACAGTATTATTGAAAAATTCTGTTTGAACTCCCTCAAATTTGTCTTGTTTTGATAGGGAACAGAAAGTGTTTAATATTTACTCAGTGGAAATGTAATAAGCAGGGATATATGGTATTTGTCTGAGAGGGAAGCACAGAAGTCAGAAAACATTTTTTTTTCTTTGTAAATTAAGTTTCTTTCCTTAAAATTTAAATGAGAATTTCAAGGGTTTTTTTTTTGGTTTTTTTTTTTTTTTTTTTTTTTTTTTTTTGTTTTTTTTTTTTTGTTTTTTTTAAATCTAGCAGGGAATTTTAGTACATAAATATGCATTTCTTTATGTTATCGTGCATGTAAATGCTTTCTGCTTAATAAAATTCATGGCATTTGAGTTGCTCCTGTCCTGTACAGCTTTATTTCTCTAGTTTAACCTGGAGCTTTGTTAAGTAAGTTACAGTATTTCTTTCAACTGCCTTCAAATGAATTTCCATGATAAATCTTAGAAGTTCTCTGTCATTTAAAATATAACTTGCTTTATGTGCACTGGTAATAATTCAAAGTTATAATTTTTTTCTTTTTCTTTGGATCATACAAAACACTAATATTAATCTTCTGATTTTGTTTGCTTATTTTTTCCTGCCCTGCTTCATGCTGGCTTTAGAAGTTTCCTCTTTTATAGAGAACGTGTTAGTATAGGTCAATCTGTCCTACAGTATTCTGGTCTTGATGACAAGATGAATCAGTTCTGTACAATCTTTTATCTTATGAACTCTACTGGTGTTTCAGATTTCTGTTTTCAGTTTCTGAGCTTATAATATAAAATCTACATTGGAGAATGTTTTCTTAAAAGATTATGCCAGAAGAATAGACAAGGGACTGGTATATTTGTATGACAGAAATAACAGAAATAATTCCTTAAATTGTTCATATAGGCAATCTTCACATTCGTATGATAGATAATATATGATATAATAATATTATTGTCAAAACTTAATTCAAAACATTGAATTAAGTCTGTGGAATGTTTTTAAAGCAAAATATACAACTACATCATTGCTTGAAATTATATGCCAATTTTTTTTTTTTGCTTAAATCCTGACTTACAGGTGACCTTCAAATTAATAAGATTTCAGTGCTTTATCAGAACAGATGTTAAAAGGGCAAGGTCCTGAGCTCCATATATATATATAATTAGTAAGGGACTCTAGAATGGATTTTAAATGGATTATGTTAATTCTCATCTTAGAAACAGCAGTCAAAAACCTTCCAGATGAACCAATAGTGTTCTGATAAGCTGATCTGTATAATTTAAATACAAACCTTTTATACAATTCTGATGCTGTTACGGTTTTATTTCCCAGAAGTCTCACCATGTGGGCCCCTTGGTCATTTGCGAGTTAAAAAAAAAACAACAACAAAACACAAAACCACGCACACAAACCCCCCCAGACCCTTTCTTATCTGCAACATTCCTATTGCCTTATGTATATTGTATATAAACCAAGTATATAATAAACAAAAGCTGCTAATTTACACTTGAAACCTCTTTATTTGCAGTCTTCTGAAAGCAGTTGTGTTCTGGAATAAAAGAGAAGGCTTTTCCCATACTCTGGCTATGCTGAATTGCTAGCTTAGTTTAGAAATACTTTTATTGAGAAAATCTTAAAAAAATAATAATAATAATTAAGAAATGCTTTTATTTCAGAATAGAACATTAAGTTGCAACTGAGTTGTTACCAATTTGCTATTTCTTGTTGACAGAAGAGAACCATCAGCTTGAATTTTATTTCAGTTGGAACATGTTTGCCTGCTATACCTACAGAGTAATAGTAAGAAGCACCAGAACTGAAAAGGACACTTACAGTTTTTCTTGAACATTTTCAAGAGACTTTGCACATGCTCTGTTTCCCATTTTCAAAATAATTCAGTGATTTTGCATTTCTGATTGTGTAGGAATTCAAGAAAGAGAAAGAGCCAAGGCTGTAATATGAAAAGCTAAAAACGGGATAAGGATTTTGCCCTGTATTTGTGGAAAGATTTGGAACTGAACAGGAAGTTGACAGTCTCATATAGGTTTATCTTTTTCCCATTCATTGATTCACCTTAATCTGTTACGATAGACCAAAAAACAAAAAAAAAAAACAAAACAACCCAACAACAAAAAAAACAGGCATTTTTCTAAGCCTCCCAGACTGAATGGCTGGTGAGAATACTGTGTAATTACATCTACAAATAATTGCTGTACTATTCACAGTTATCCTCTTTCCTGCACATCTCTTTAAAATGTTGTCATCACAGTTTTGATGATCATGGCTCATGGAAAAAGGTATTGCCTTTTTAGTTTAGTTGTCTATTTCAAAATTAGTACACTTCTATTTTGCTTAATTTTTTTCAATGAATTTTCACAGTCAGAAGCTGATGTGACGCTTGAAAATGATATAGAGAGAGCTATTGATTCCACGAATGGGCATGATTCAGAGCTCCTTGTGGTGCTCATCTCTCCACTAAAGAGGAAGCATAGGAGAACCAAATTCCATCTGTAAATTTTCCCCCAAATCAGTTGGAAGCATCAAAACTTTACTTACGTCGTACAGGCCTAAAGTCAATAAATAGTTTTAATAAGTATTGGCCCAGAACACCTGTAAAAGAGAACTGAAACTGAAGACCAGAAAGGAACTGTAGTAAAAGATAGGGTTGATGTCAGTATTTGGAAGATCTGTGTTCTCAAAATTGCATTTATTTAGTATTCTTATTGAAGAAATAAGATGACAGGTTACTGATTCAATGGGTGTTGTGCTATGTATGACATAGTTGTAAATCTGATTGTTCCTTTAGTTTAACATTTTTTGGAAAGGACGTTTTCATTTGGTTGTCATCTATGTTGCATTTTTGTAATAGCAGTACATCTCCCAGACATTTTTGCAGCAGTGATTTAGAAATCAGAACAAGAACCTGAGATATTTTACTAGATTTTTCATCCCGTGGTTTTGAGTTTGTGATACCTTTGTTAATATGACAAAAGTAATTTGTAATGCTTTTTCATCAGAACTTGAGTTAAATTATTACTTATTACATGTAGTTTCTGTACCAAAAAAAAAAAAAATTCTATAATATTAATTCAAAATGTTTTGTAGTAATGTACTGAGAGTTCAGATCTTGATTGTGTAGCATTTTCAATGTCACAGTCTTTGTTTTATTTGGTGGAAACAAATCTTATTCATTTTTCCTGAAATGGCCCATGATATGGCTTGTTTTGCTCCTTCGCCTACATTTACCAACCTTTGCTGTTTTCTTAATACTTGAAATACTCTGAAATTAGTATGGAATCATATTTTATACTTACTTTTAACTGGAGTATTTTTTTTAGACTCATTGTCACTTATGAAAATTTTCACAAAATAGCTTTTAATGTATGGTACAACATCTTATGGACACGAGAGGAAATACTTCTTTGTGTTTTGTTCTCTAACACTCTATCTCAGGCTGTTTCTTCCATATTTCTGATACGTATAGTCTATAGTCTAACAGTAAACTGAAAAACAGTGAAAATAATCTGATCTTTGTTGGTTTTTTTCTTTCTTTGACCTTAAAGCTTGTTCAGTGTAATCATTTTGTTGGTGCGGCATACTTTATTTTGTCAGAACAGCAGATTAGATGCATCATTTACAGTAGGCTGGAGATAAGTTTATACATGTCTTTTCCAGCTACGGTGGTGAAAGGAGAGTGAGTACGGATGTGTGTGTAGACATAAGTTGAAAGAAGCCAAATATGTACAGGCACACATTTCCAAGATTGTTTTCTTTGTTTGGTGCATATACTCCAACACTGAGTGACTGGTAATTTGCATTTCAAAGATGAAACTAATTCAAACACCAGCAATGAAACTGATCTAGAAACAGATTGTTGGTACCGTTTTACTGCCTCCATTCCACAAGCTACTGCATGTGGCATTAGGAATCTATTGATCAATACAACCAATACCATAGAAGCCTACTTAAAATCTTGACTTGACTGAGTCACTCTGACAGCTCACTGTTTTTTATTTTCCCAAAATAAACATTGTACTGATGACCTTCTGTTTCACATTGTTCATTTGACTAATATTAATTTCAGTAATTTCGTTAGATGCCTATTGATTGCTTGTATTATATTGATATATGTAACAAAGAATGTATTTTATTTAAATTTGATAAGAAAGCTATGTAATTTGATTTAATCTCTTTGTAGATATTACTCTGCTTTGAAGACAATGGAACAACTAGAAAATCTGTATCTTCCCAGAGTTAGCCAATATCGATTTTGCCAAATAATGATAGAAAATCTTCCAAAACTACGTGAAGAAATAAAAGAAATTTCTATGTCAGATCTGAAGGATTTCTTAGAGAGTATTAGAAAGCATTCTGACAGAATTGGGGAAACTGCAATGAAGCAGGTAAGCCTACATACCAGGATGATTTCAGCCCCATTGCCTACTGAAAACTGACCTAAAGCTTCAAATATTCTTCAAGAACTTCGTTAATTAGCATAGTTTATGATATTTCTTTATTACTAGATTGAGTATTACTAATGAATGCTGTAGCTTTCTTGGCTGCAGCAAGTAAAATTTTGATTTGATTTTACTGTTGGACTGCCTCATTTTCTTCTAAAGTTTTTAGAATTTTGTTTTGTCTTTCAGAAAAAAAAATCTTGTAAAATGCAGAGCTGATGAGTATAAATGAAACTTAAGTGTGTCTCTCAACAAGACTACTGGACGTTGTATTGTCCTATGCCAGCCCTGTGCATCCCAATCACAAAATAATACTATGCTAACTTGGTGCATTTCTTTCAGCAGTGTGGACAATACAGTGCATCTGAATGCATTTGACTTCTGCAGCTGTCTGTTCACAGGGGCTTAATTGAAGACAGAAAACAAATAGCTGGCAAATTCTGTTTTGATAACTGTACTTGAGTATTAATTATGTGCTTGCAGGTTATTATTGGGAAAATTACAGATAACTTTTACATTTTTTTCTGTTGCATTCTGGGGATTAGGGAAGAATTATGCAAAAAGAAGCTGTTGAATTCTTTTGTCATCCCAAATCAATTGAGGGCAAAACCATCAGAGTGGGCTGAGAGCAAACAGCTTGCAATTAACACTGATTTGCGTTCAATACGACCACCTCTTTTTCATGACATAGCATATATTTATAAATAATGAAATTTGAATTATATCCCTCTTAATTGGTGCTACTTTCAAAACAGGCACAACAGCAGAAAACCTTTAGTACCACTCTTCAGAAGCATAATAATGTAAACTACAGTCGGAATATGCATTTGGGTAGAAGCAGAATTTTGGACTCTAAGAATGAAATGACATTGAAGCGAACACTTGAAGAAGATGATGATCATGATGAAGAGGTAGCCTTTTACTAAATCTTATTTAAAGTGAATTTTGCAGTTTTATCGAACAAAGCTTGCAGTGTGCTGTCTGTAGATGGAATAATATAGATGGAATAAGAAGAGAGCATCTTCAATGGACAATGCCCAGATCTTTATTTTAGGAGGAAAACAAAGTGCAAAATATTAATTTCGTTAATGCTAAAATAGAGTGTCAAGTTTGGGGCCATTCAGTTGAATAGAGTATGTCATTATTCAACTGAATTCAACTTGTAATTATTCAGGAATTCAGTTGCAAGTTACATAATACACTACCTGCCCACTGCAAACTGTACGTGGTGCCCTGGAATATTCCTCTGTTGCTAAAGTGGGTGCTTCTTTGTTGTGAACCTTAGCTTATGTTAGCAGTCTTTCAGCTACTGAATATTCACTATCCATAGATTAAATAAACTAGCGAATATTTAGATACTTGTATTTGGTGCTCTGAAAACACGGTGAATAGAATGTTTTTGCAACAGAAATGCAATCTAATACTCTAAGGCAGAGAGAGGAGGGAGCTTCTGTGATAGAACGGTTTTTCCTAAAGTTGCTGGCAAAGGAACTGATGCAGTTGCTCTTGAAGTCATTAATGCAAGCTCCTTCCACTTTCTACCAAAGTAACAGTTTTTTTTAGCCATAAAATCTGTCAACGTAGTTAATTTTGCTGACCTTAATTTGGTCTTGCTTTTGTCTTCAATCCCAGTGTATTTCCATATTCATTTTAATCTTAAATTTATCAGTCTATTAACCAAATCGTGCAGTTTTAAAGTTGATGACACAAGGCAATTCCTTTAAAGTAAGATAATTTATCAAGTATTTATTAAGTGGGCAAGTTCTGTTGGTAATATATCAGCAGATTATGAGTTTTAAGCTTTATAACTTTTTCCTGTCCACAGGTTTTAACTGCTCAAGATCTTGTGGATTTTTCTCCAGTCTATAGATGTTTGCACATTTACTCAGTTTTGGTATGTATTAAGGTGGCTTTTAAAAGATCTTTTCTGAGTTGAATATCCCTTATTTTATTTCTCCAATACATACAGAACAAGTGTCAGGTAGATGAGTCAGTGTAGCACTGATTTCAAGTGGACAGATGGTTTCTACTGAATGGTCATCCTAATGAGATGGCCAGGATGTCACTTGAATTCCTTGCAATGTAATCATTAGGCATAGAAGGGTGTTGTATTTCAAGGGCTGTGATAGGAGAAAAATCCAAATCATTAGTCTTTGTATTTAACAATTCCAAAGGGAAGAAGTGAATATTAAATAAATTTTTATTTTTCTCCAGTGTTTATTTTTCTCCAGCAAAGCTCTTGCATGCATTGTTCAAGTGTATCATATAAACACAGAAATGCTGTTGTAACTTTGCAGTGCAGTCAGTTTCTTGACTAACCTGAAGATGCATTTTAAGACACAGAGTTTCAGCTGTAGAACAATAGAGAACATGCCTTATGCATGAACATAAATATTTATTCAAATGCATAATATTGTATGACAATATGTAGATGTGAGCAACATTTTTCTATATATATTTTTCTCTTTTAAATACATATATGTAATCTGAATATTTTATGCATTTTAAACTTCATTAATGTCAGCAAGAAGTCTGTGAGAAACAAATGCATAATATGTGTCTTAATTTAAAACAGATTATTTTACACTTAGGTTAATAAGTGATTTTTAATACTGAGAGAATGACCTTGTTTTAACTACTTTTGTCTTTTTTTTAGGGTGATGGAGAAATATTTGAAAATTACTACAGAAAGCAAAGAAGGAAACAAGCGAGACTAGTTCTGCAGCCACAATCAAGCATGGTAACCAATACTTTACTTTCTACACAGACTTAGATTGTACCTAATACTTAGTGGTATTTTTATTCCTAAACTTATTTTCTTTTTCACTGCAAGCATGAAACAGTAGAAGGCTATAGAAGATACTTCAGTCAAATTGTAGGGTAAGTTTCCTAAATGGAGATTTACTTCAGTTTTACTGTACTGATTCTTAATTCATCCTTTATTCTCCCATTGTCCAAACACTTTCTTTAGTTTCTGCACAAATGATGTGGGTGTTGATAGCTGTATCTGAGCATTCACATCCTACCATTGCAGTACCCCAAAAAGACCGTCCGATAACCTGGGCTCCAGATAGCATAAAGCAAGTTTTTCTCATTTTGACTTCATACTGGGCAGAGCTGATCCAAATCTACCCAAGTGTCAGTGCTCCAATAGGGAAGGGCTTGACTATACTTGTCTCTTAATATTAGAGCAAATTCTACTCTTTCACTGAAAACTTAATTGAAGGATTGCTTTGTTTTAGTTTCTTTGTAGTAGAAGACCATATTTTACATGTAACCCAAGGACTGGTAACTAGAACTTATACTGATGAACTCTGGAACATGGCCCTTTCAAAGATCATTGCTGTTCTGAGAACACACTCGGTAAGTGAGAAGATTTATCAGTACTTCAGTTTAAATCCTTTTACTTAAAAGCTCTGAGTATTTAAAACTGAGATGATGACAAAGTGAAAAATTAAACCTCTCTGGTGTTTTCTTTTCCTTGTGATTAAAAATTGCTCAGATTTGGGAGGGAGCCTGCCAAGCTTTTGTTGTTCCTGACAGTATCAGGCTGTGATCCACAGCCATGGGCTATTTGCATAATCCTCCACTGATTTACAACTCACTGGGTCTTCCAAACTTCTCTTAGTCCAGCAGTTTAGAATATGCAGAGTTAATCTGCTGTTATTATTGCAATCCTTCCTCATTAGTCTCAACTGACCTCTTCATTAGATCAGATTGAATAGTTCAGCGCTGAAAGCACCACCAGGAAATAGTTCCTAATTATCATTCCAAATGCTGTGTTTCCAAAATAAACTCTACCAGCAAAACCCTCCAAGCTATCTCTTCAATGCTATGGTAGTAGTATGTTTATGTTCTAGTAAAGATATTAGAAAAAATTTCATGATGTTAGAATGTAATTCTCTATCATTTGAGTATTTCAGTTTATTCAAAGTGCATCTTCTGAAGTTACATTTCAACTGTAGCTCAAATGGTGCTGCTTGATATTTCTTATTCCTCTGTGGCAACCTGTGGAATATTGCTATTTGCTGAGAATGCCTGCAAGTTGCTTCAGAACTTACCAGGCTGGTTGAGCATAATTTTTGCTATCAGAAAATGTTGAAGAATTTTACCTTTCTCTTTTTGATGTTTGCAAGTAGCAGTTACATATTTAACATGTAATATCTTACAACTCATGTATATGTAGAAAAGAATGGGGAAGAATTCAAATTGCAACTGTAGTTTTATCACAGGAACTTTACACATCAGTGTTACGTCAGATGTACTAATGCTTTTTAATTCTAGTTAGACCCAGGCTTAGTGTTCAAAAGAATGTCCTGTCGAAATCTGTGATGTTGGTTTAGCAGAGTATTTTGATGTGTGCTTATATGCCATTAAAATAAATGTAATTTGCTAGTTTTTAATCTCAGTACAACACTAACATTTATTCTATCTCATGTTTTAGTTTAGTTTTTTTCTGAGCTTTTATGTTAGTGGTATTTCATATAAGAAATTAAAAAAATACTTTAATGTAACTGCACTGCATTGAAGGTGAGTCTAAGCTGTTTTAACCAAGGCAGTCAGTCAGGGACACAGGTAAGGCTGGAGTGTTCAACCCTCCTTCTGTGCTAATGTTCTTTGAAAACATATGGCCAATATTTTGAATAATTTTAACAAAACCAGAATTTCTCGCTTTCAGTCATATTGCAATGATCCTGACCTTGTTCTGGAACTGAAGAATCTCATTGTGGTATTTGCTGATACTTTACAGGTAGGTATTATATTTGCAATTCAACTGAAATTCATAGAGCCAAATTTGAACTTTAGGTGAGTACAATGTTTTGAATCCCCCTGATGTCATATATATAAGTCAAGAGTAAAATTACAGAATAAAGATTTAAATAATAAAGATGTCTGTACTTTATGCCCTTTAGCCCCTTTTCACTATTACCAACTGAATGTATGTATTTTGGGTGATCCAGTTAGCATCAGGATATTCGTATCCATGCTACTGTTAGCTTCGTACCTTGTGAACATTTTTGTCTTTTGTAAATGCTTTACTTCTGAACTTAAACATGAATTAACAGTCCAGCTATCATTAACTGTCTAGGGGGATGACCAAATGAATATCATTGGCAAATATTCTTTTAACATTTACCAGACTGATAAAAAAGATTATTTGCATAAATATAAAGTTAAAATGTTACAGATAAATGGGAGAGATTTCTGCTTGACGGCTGAAACCATGGTAAACAATATTTTGTAAGAATGTAATTAAATGATCTTCTACTTGTGTATTTGAAGTAGTATAATCTGATTTGTAGAATAGATTGATCAGTCTCACTTCAGAGTCTTGAAGATGTAGTAAGAATGAACAAGTTAGTTCTTGAATTATCCATCCTTTTCATTTTTATACTTTAGGGTTATGGTTTTCCTGTGAATCGACTCTTTGATCTTTTATTTGAGATAAGAGACCAGTATAATGAAACACTTCTTAAAAAGTGGTCTGGATTGTTCAGGTTAGTATTTCAAAATAATTGTGGTTTTCATATTGCATTTCTTTCTTTTTGTCTTTAAATTTTGTTGCAGTTGTAATTCTGGAAAAATTGACTGAATCAGTATTGCATATGAAGTCTGGATTAGGTAGAAGTAATGTATTCATTGCATGTAACTAATATTTAGGAGAAGAGCCATTGAGGACTGCTTCTGTAATTAATGAGAAGAAACCCTCCCTCTTGGGACTTCACTGGAGAAATACCAAGAGAAGGACACCTGTTTTTCTTCATTAGTAACCTAATCAGCCTAGGCAACTGCAATAGGTTGTTGCCAATCTGTTCCTAATTTAGATTGTCTTAATGTTTAAAGTCAGATGTTACATGTATATTACTGACATGCTTCTGATGTTGCCAATATATCTTCATGTTCTTTCAATGCAAGTGGGTTTCCACATGTTCTTTGGAATCATTTTTTTTGAACAAATTATTAACCCAGGAGTAGAGCTCCAAAGCCTGTTTGTAGATACAGAGTATGATGGGTAGAGTAAATGTGCAGATATTGTTTACCATAAAATATGTTTAATCATATTACAGAAAATCTTAAAATTAAATAGACCACTTAGTATTCTCACACTCTGTAGACTTCAAGTAAAGAAGTCCAGAGGGTACTTAGTAAATCTGGGCACATTTGCCTATTTAAGTTCTCTGAATCATCTCCATTAACACACGTAGCTGTGATACTGAAGCTGGATGCTGAGTATCTAGCTTTAGTGTAGGCAAAGTGTAGGTAAAGATCTCCTTAGATTTTTTTTCTGGAATAGACTTGTTCTGAAGTTCATTTACTATGTTGTGCTTTTGGGCATGCACAGTAAATGTTTGCAGCTTTTTTTTACTCTGTGATTGGACATAGCTTGAAGAGTTACCATATAATAATTGCTTTCAAATTCATTTAAACATAATCAGACTTCTGAAATCAGAATGATTCCAGTTCATAATATTTTGTCATTGCACATATAAATGTGGTAGTAAAATATATGTTCATTAACATTTTTTGTTATTGTAAAGTACCATTAGTAGATTACATATCCTTATTTTTGTCACTTTATTAACTAATTTGCCAGGGATATTTTTGAAGCAGATAACTACAGCCCTATTCCTGTAGCAAATGAAGAGGAATACAAAATAGTTATAAGCAAATTTCCTTTTCAAGATTCAGAACTTGATAAGGTAAGGAAAAGTTTTATGTTATTAAGATTTGCCAAAGTCCAATTCGGAATGGTTAGAACAGAAATTATATTTGTAATTAGAAAGTAATTAAAAATAGAAAAGCTAGGTAGATTAAGAGTGTAATTATGTATTCATAAATAAATATGAAAATTAAAGCTCTAATCACTTGCTCTGATGTTTGAGTGAATAATGAGACCTAGTGTTTTGTAAACAAATTAATAATTCATTTTAATTAATACAGGCTTTATTTAATGAGTTAGCTTAGATTTTGTTGCCACCATTGGGTTTTGTAACCCATGGTGTGTTATATGCTGTAGTTTTGCAGAAATACGGGTAATGATCATCAGGGATATATTAGAGATAGCAACTTCATTATTTCACTTTGTAAGTTAGTTATTTATTATCTGAATATGTGGGGCAAAGTAGATATGAAAGGACTGTAAATAATTCTGCTGTACTGGCATCCCAGTGGGATATTCTTTCATAGTGTCAGCCATTCTCTTTAAAATTTGCTTTCCTAGAAGGTGGTTAGTATGTTCTGCCTTCTTCTCCTTTTGATGGAACCGATCAAGTAATATCAAACCTATGGTAGAATTTACATAAGGAAGTGGGAGTAACTGGTGTAGAGGGAAACTGGTTTATTCAAGATCCACTGCTGTCCTGAAAAGGGACTCTTAATTTTGTGATTCAGCAGGAATATAGCTGATAGAGAACAATAAACACTCCAAACTTTATTGTAATTTAAATAAGGGGTTATGGTACATTTTGTTTATAAGATGTTTAAACAGATACAGAAGTCAGCTCAATTACACCACTAAATATATTTGGTTAAAAATGGAAAAACTTCTGATAAATGAAAATATTAGCAGTGTTAAGGGATTTTCCGATGTTTAATACCAATCTCTCCTTAGAATCAGAGGATTATCTTTGTTTTTACAGCAATCCTTTCCAAAGAAGCTCCCAATGTCTCAGTCAGTGCCTCAGATATATATCCAGGTTAAGGAATTCATTTATGCAAGCCTTAAGTTTTCAGAATCACTTCATCGCAGGTAATCTATAAGTAGTGTGAATGTGAATAAACTATAGTATAAACTATATTATAGTATAAACTATCCTATAACTTCCAGGTGAACTAACAATTTATATTAGCTTGGAAATACGTTTTCCTGGGTGCTTACTTCCTATGTTTGTTTCATAAGTTACATGTGTAATTCTTTATATTTTATCTGTGATTCTCAGTGCTATAATATATATTTCATGTGTGTATGTATGTATGCATACATGTACGTATGGAATGCAGGAATGTGTAGATGAATTTAGCTTGGGTAATTAACTCACCAAAGCAGTGCTAGGGCTTTTTTAACAGTATTGACTGATTTGAATAATCTGGGGATTATTGTTTCATTTTTTGTTAAGCCTGTATGATTTCAAAAATATACTTTAATAATGATCATTTCAGAAATAATTGTGTAGCATCCCTGATTACTTTAAACACCTCTCTTCTTTCCTACCTTTTCCTAAAGGAAAACATAACTTTTCTGACATTCTTCTGTTCTCCTGTGAACTTCTAAAGCTTAGTTGTAATTATGTTAAATAACGTGGCAGGTCTGAAATCTGGGAGTTATTTGTGGCTGCTCACCCACTTCTGCTCTGTTAAGGATGTAAATGAATCGCTTTCACACATTCTTAATTGTTACTGTTTATAATTTACACGTACTAATTGGTGCATGTTGACCTCCGTGGTAACTCATTACAAAACACAAATTATTCTTTCCTAACTGCTGTGTCAATGAACATGTCCAAAATCTAAAAATAACAGGTTTTGCTTCAATGTTGAAATGTAGTTAATGGATAATTTGGTAAATGAAAGAGGTGTTTTGTGTATTAGATCACAGATGACTTGAAGCAACCAGAAATTCAATGCACATGGATAATTCTGAACACTAAAAGTTCTCTTTGTAAGGAAGAAATTGAGTTTTGCTGTCAAGTATTGTCATGTTTTAAAAATGCACTTTTATTTCAGCTCAACAGAAATAGATGACATGCTTAGAAAATCGACAAATTTGCTGCTAACAAGAACTCTCAGTAGTTGTTTACAGAACCTAATTAAGAAACCTCATATAGGCTTAACAGAGGTAAGTTTTAAAATGCGCCCCCAAAACTGTGTTCTTCTAAGGAAATTAGTGCTAAAATGATTCCTGTAAATGTGAATATAATTTAGTATCGAGATTATGTAAGAAAAGTAAGCAGTGTTTAAAATTGAAATTTTAAAGAGATTATAATTGTGTAAAAATGTGTCAGTGGCTGTGACATAAATGAAAAAACAACCAAACTATCAAAAACAATGTGGATCTAGTTGGAAGTGTATTTACATAAGGATGCTTACTGACAGATAGATGGCAATGAACAATTTCTGCCTCCTGTACAATAAACAGGGAGTTGTGTTACCATAAAAAAGTTTGAAAGGTAAAGTTGTTACTTCTCCAAATGTTACATTAGTGATCACTAAAAGGTGTTGGAGCCAGAGTGCAAGTAGTGAGGATATCAGAAATCATACACCATTGTTTCAGTTATTATGCATTATCTGTGTTGTCTGATTTATGAACTGAATATGAATGAAGGTCCAGCCTATAAGAAGAGGTAAATTGTATCTTTATCATGTATATTTATATCTAGAGCAGTTACGTTACCATTTAGGGGGAGATGCAATAGTATTTTTGAAATTTTCTAACTACTTTATGCATTGTTTTTATGCATTTATGTATTTATTTAGATATTTATTTATTTTAACTGCAGCAATGATGTTTGCTTTCTTGTTTCCTTGTTTCTGTAGTACAAACTAGTGATTTGATTTTGGCAATATGTTATCCTTTATTTTCCCTTTCTTTAATTCTAAAACAACAATTGAATTAATGTCACTGAGTAAGTGTCTGCAATCTTCATTTTTTAAATGGCATTTGTATGTAAACTCTGGTGTTATTCCTTACTGGTATTTGACAGCTAACTTGAAAGTTGTCAGTTAATAGCTGATAACCTGACATACTGCAACAAACTTCCAGCAACAGGGTTTCTGAAAGAAGCCCCCATTTACAAAATTCAAGTGTCGGTGGGTAATAGAAAAAGGCTTTTTATGATAATTATTTGTTTCTTGTAGCTTGTTCAAATCATCATAAACACAACACACCTGGAATTAGCCTGTAAATACCTTGAGGATTTTATCTCTAACATCACAAACATTTCGCAAGTGACTGTTCACACTGCGAGGCTGTATGGACTTTCTACATTTAAGGTATGGTATATATCATCTGTTATGCAACCACATATGAAAAGTTAATTAATTTGCACTGATTTTAATGTATCTAAAAACAAAAGGAGATTGAGTGGAAAGCTGTGTATTTTCTCATTTTGACTCTAAAAAAAATCTGTTGGGAATTGAATTTTAACACAGCAGATAAACACTGTTTTTTATGTTATTGGTCTGGGAATTCAGTATATGAGAAGCATCCACATTCCCACAGATGCCTCTTTTATAAGTTGCAGAATGACAAACAAAGTTTGACTGCATCAGGAGTTTTCAGTGGATTAAGTTCCAAGCAGTGTGACATCTTTGCATTTCTGAATGGAATCAAGCAAAACAGCTACTGTAATCTGACATGTTTTATGTTTGTGGTATATTCTCAGACTGTGTAATGATAATATAAAAGCAGTATTTAGTAATACATGTTACGAAGCACAGCTTATTCAATTGTATTTAGAATTCATATTTTGATTTAATATCCTTTACATTTATTTGCACGGTGATGGTTGTTAAAATGGAAATAGGGCTAGATATGATCAATGATATTGGTGTATAATTATCAACAAAAAAGCTTTATTTTTATCTTTAAATAATAAATATCCTCAGAGAAGTATTTTTCCACATCTTATTATTTTTATCACTTTTATCTCCATGACTGAATGGTTGAGATTATTATCTTCAGCACTGTTCATTCAGAAGGCAAACCTGTATACTATATGGAATCACAGGTATTCACATCAAAGGTTTCAAAGCATTCTCATGAGAAATATGGTACTCTGTGGGAGGGCATTGGGATGGCACTTAAAGGAGCAGTGTTCTCTGTCAAGGTTTGCTGCTGGCTAAGAGATCAGAAATCTGTCACCTAGCCTCTGCATTTCTCACTTTCTCTCTGTTTGTAAGCAAGAACTCAAATGACCTGTTGTAAAATAATTTTTGAAGTGCCATAAATTACTAATAATGAAACTCTCCATAGACGATGAACGCAATGAATGGTTTGCATATATTGCAAAAGCAAGTTTTGGAATTCATACATGTAAAATAAGACAGAAATTACTTCATCAACCAGGTCTAGCCAAGTAGCTTTTTTGGGGGGTTAGAACAGAAGCAAATCTGTGTGCCTTGTGAGGAGGAAAAGGATTTCAGGTTTTCTTTATGAAGAAAACATTCCTACAGAAGAATAATCCTGTATGGGTCATTTTATCCAGTAATTTCAGCAAGTGCGTTGCCTTCCCAGTCACCTGGGACTCCTAAGTAGAGATTTTTGGAAAAGAAACAAAACATCCAAAAAAGTCACAAGAGATTCCAGAGCAACTGTAACTTGAACTTTAGGTATGTGGATTTTTTTATAGTATACAGTGGAACAAAGACAGATGGGATGAGGAGGATTAATCCAATTGAGAGTAGTTCTGTTTTCTGTGCTGCATTTTTTTCCCCTTGGTATACTATGTGGCTTATTCAGTATTGATATCCCCTCTGGCATATGTTAAAAGATTGTTAAGGTGGAATAAGACATCATCATCCTTGCAATACACTTTATATTTCCAATTGATTGCCAGTGATTTTCCTATTTGTTGTTGTTGTTGGCTAAGAATTTCTTGACTTAAGACAAAGCAGAAAAGGCACAGCAGCTGTAGTGAGATTAACATTGCCCTGTCAGTACAACCTTACTAAATTTTGGCCTATTGTATAGATCTAGGCTATGTTGTTTGTTATGCAGTAGTATAACAGTAGTAGTGTATGTGTGCGTTTGAATTTTCATGTCAGTGGATATTTTCTTGTAAGGACAATTCATGCTTTTTCTAACGTTTGTAACAAAACACTCAATGCAGCCATAGTCTGATTTCATTAAGAGGTAAAACGTTCTCTGTCCTTGAATTTCATCTAATAAATGACAGCTTAGAGTTTACATTACATTTTGTGCTAATGGCTTTTTTTAAAATTTATGTTTAACTACTGTATAAACTATTTAAGTTTCATTGGAGATAATTGCAGAATATTATAGCTGTGTATTAGAGCTGAGCTTAATACCTAAGCCATTCAGCAAAGTACAGAGTGAACAGTAACAAGCATATAAGGAAAATGGTCTGTTTTCTCTCCTATCTCCTTCCCTGGAGAACCTGCTAGCACAACATTCTCTACCTATAGCAGAAAATTCTTTTCTCATTAATCTTTTTTTTTCAAAAAATTTATATTTAATGAAAAACTGCATGTAGTTCCCCAGCTGGGCCCTCATAGGGTTTGGTATGTTCACAGTTATTAAATCCATCTCCTGGTGGCAAATCATGTCACTTCCATTCTTTCTGACTGATCAAAAATCTCCTTTATTAGCAGTGTTTGCATTCCATAAGATGATCTCAAAAATACACCTATACTGTTGTTTTTCTTGTTTCTCTCTCTTTTTTTTTTTTTTTTTTTTTTTTTTTTTTAAATACAATCCTGCTTCATTGCTTCTGTATCTGAGGGCTGCTTTTCCCCTTTTGTTATTTGATGTAAGGTGCCACTTTAAAATACCATTCAAACTGCCTTGGCATTCTTTTGTAACAATGTAAAAGTAAAGCCAAGTACAAATTAAAAACAAATAACCTCTCTGCCCTCAAAACAGCACCCCCTTTATTCATTTTATCATATTAAAAAACTGCGTAGCTTTCAGTGTTTACAACATACTTTTCAGCTTTGGATGGCTGAGTGCAGTTGTGGATACCATTGTATTCCCTTGCCTCTTTAAATCAGCAGTCACTCTAAACAAAAATAGATAAATTTGGAGATCTAATTGGTAGAATTCCTTGAACCCAGGGTCTCAGGATTAGACTGTGTAAAGGCTGTTCAAGAGCCAGATACACAGCATTGAATCTTTCTCCCACAAAGGAAAAAAAAGTTTGTTTCTAAACGTAGTTTTCCTATTAGAAAAAAGCCATTTAACAAAACTTCCCCATTTGCCTTGGTTGTATTTCTTATGGGGGAAAGTCTGGTGAACTTTCAAAAGTTTTTTGGTGCGATTATGTCACCAAGATAAAAGATGGAGTATTTCCTCTGTCTCCAGAAGTCATCCCATATCCAAATACTGCTGATTTACATTTTCTCTTTAGTATACTTATGTAGACTTACAGTATACATCGTAGGAATTTTTAAAAACTAACTTCAGACTTATTGCGTCAAGACACAAGCTAACAAACTTTTTTTTTTAACCCTAAAAAACAATTATCTGTAAGACTTCGGTTTCATTGATTAAAAATATTTAATCTATGTTCTAGTAATATTTTAGAATTCTGGTAGTTGTGCAATTTTTTTTTTCCCCTCAGGATGCAAGGCATGCTGCAGAAGGAGAAATATATACAAAACTAAACCAAAAAATAGATGAATTTATTCAGATCGCTGACTATGACTGGACAATGTCTGAATCAGATGGAAGAGCCAGTGGGTACTTAATGGACCTCATTAACTTCTTGAGAAGCACATTTCAAGTTTTTACTCATTTACCTGTAAGTTTTCAAAATTAAGTGTAATTTCAATCCATTGGAGCATTATTTTATTTTATAAGATTTTGAAAAAATATGCAATTTTTTAATTGAATGCATGCTAGCAATGAATATATCAGTATTTTCAGTATAGATTAGCTTCAGATGTTTCAGTATGTTGATGATGCTTACCTATGATAATTCTTAGACAATGCTTTTGAATACTCTAGAAGTAATGCAAACAACAGCTGATTTACAAATAGTCTAAGAAGTTAGCTAGAGCAGGCAAGTCCTCAGATGTCCTTCATTGTACACATCATTGATTCAGAGGGCACTGAATTGGTGCAAGTCCTTCATTTTTGCAGATTCTGGAGGCCTTGGATTTGGTTCTTTTCAGTTAAGTAACTCTGATTTAAAAAAATAAATCACTTAATTCTTGTTAATTGAGCATCATTGAAACAACTCCCTGTTCTTATTCAAATATATCCTTTACTTTGTACCACTTGAAGGGGCACTAGTAACATGTTTGATATACTTCTTGTTACATTCCATTGTTCAATTTCCTCTTTCTTTAAGACAAAAAAACCAAGATTTTCTAGTTCAAGCTATGGTCATAATAGTTTATACCTTTGTAAATGTGGAGTAACTTCAACAAGTCTTTCAAGATGCATCTGCTTTTCCTCGGTTTGTCCTTTGTTGCTGCTGTCATGCTGATGTCTGATTGCTTTACCCACATGCAATGCCTGTCAGGAATCAGTTCTCAATGCATAAATATTTCGAGGCTCCAGACTGGTAGATAAATTTATTTACATTCACAGCAAGGTGCTGAAGTTGCTGACATAGTGGGCTTATCAGATCTTCCAAATTATGTTAAGTGGCTGTGATTCTTTCGTCTTTTTCTTTTTTTAATTACTCAAAGACATGGCCCATTCAGTGTTGGTGTGAATGGGAAGTATGCAGCACATGTTTCCAAGCCAAGTCAACTGAGCACTTTTTTTAAATAAAGGATAACATGCTTGTTGGTTAAATTCACTGTAACCTTTTTGTTACTCATCAAACAAATGGCGCTGCTCCTCAGTGGCTATTTGTGCATAGCAGCTGTGAACAATGATGTACAGCTTGTGATATAGGTCTTCTAAAATAGAGTACAGACAGAAATTTAAATGTCCTACTATCTGCTGAAAGAAAGTTGTAGGTTTCTTGAATGAGATAATTTGTTAGAAGGTTGGAAAGTAGCATCTATGGCATTAAGAGACTTGAAAAACATTAAAGGCATAGAAATAAGTGCCTGAGGATGCAAGCCAACTTTTGGAGAAAGGTTGTTCCTATGAACTGTTTATTTTGTAATTTAAACTCTGACCAGTTAACAAGCTGGAGCTGTATGGCTGAGCAGTCTGGTCTGGCAGGAGGTTTTTTGTTGCTTTTGGATTTCCCTGTGTATCACTCTGGCTTGGCAGATTGTGGAAACGTGCAGTCCTATAAATGTTGTGTATGTGCTGTGGAGACTGTATGAAAATGCGTGAACAGTGTAATTGTGGTGGTTCTTGTTAGATATGTAGTAGTAAGTTATTTTATCAAGAGAAAATGTATAATAAAGATTTTCAATGGCAAGCTCAGAACTAGATTCCATAGCTCAGTAAAATACTAGTGCTATGGAGTCCTAACCAAAACGATTAGCTTATGCCACAGTTAAAACTGGGAGAGTTTTAGTATGTATTTCCATTAGCAGAATAAGACTGTCCCTGTGTCATTTCTTTAACAGTTTGTATTGCTGGCAGAAACAATCCTACTGCACAAAATGGTTTGTCAGAACCATGTCTGTAACTGGAAATCAAATAAAATCCTGAGCAGTGGTTGTAATTTTAGGAAAAAAAAAAAAAAAAAAGCAGGACAAATAGAGGAATCATTTCCTATCATGGTATATCCTGTGGTATTGAAGGGGTTTTTGCTGGAGCTTGGGCATTAGTTTGCTATGGTCATCTTCCATAGTCTGGTTTAAGGGTCGTTGACATTCTATCTAATATTGTTTCAAACTCAGTTTTCCACTAGGGGTGTTACAACCTGTTTACTTTTTGGTGGATGTTGGATTCCTGTCATTAGAGCCCTTGTCTCTAATGTCTTGTCTCAGGTATATGTGTAAGCTGTGGAAACACACCTGCAGGTCTCCTTTTATGCTCTCACCTGAGGCTATACTGAATTATTTCTGTAATGGTGTAGACATAAGTTTTAAAAACATACTTTCTCTGTTAAATGTTTTGTGAAATTTGTGTATTATTACAATTGGAACATAAGAGATCTAAATCAGACCATGATCTCAATGTTTTTGAACTTGCACATTTCATGGCACAAGTTTGCTGGAGTCTGCTAGACCCATGGAATCACTGCAAGCATGTCTTTGAATGTTTTTTTTTCGGTTAAGTTTTACATCTTAGTTTTCTCCTCTGTATATATGTACTGTGCTTTAGCATCAGTTTTGGAAAAGAAAATATACTCATTCCATTTTCCTGTTATAGCACCATTACCTTTGCATTAACAGTTATTTAAGGACTGTGTAACATTTCAATTATTACTGTCCTAAGCCATTCTAAATTTTGCCTAAGTATGTTTATACCATACAGATAGCCTTCATAGGCCAAGACAGTAAACATGGCACAAGTATTTTGGAATGTATAATTTGTTATATAGAAAACTTTTTGGAAAGGCATAAGAACAGATGTTTCCCAATCTGAAGTTTGCTGTTTTAATATTTTGGCATACTGTTCTTTATTACATTTTAAAAACATTTTATTGCTGAACCAGTATTATTTCAATTATAATCTCTTTGTTGTACAATGGCAAAATACTGTATAATTTCAAAGGTGTTTGTTTTTTTTTTCTAAGCAATTATATAAATGTTATTTTTGGAAACGTTTCCTTATCTTTTATTGCTACCAATTTTTTATTCTTTTTTTTTTTTTTTTTTGATGTTGACAGTACATCTTAATTTTTTGTTTTGATTTGATTGCCTTACTGGTTTCCTTCTCAGAATAACAACAATGACCATGCAGCTATGTCGGTAAGTAGATGCAAGATGAAGAAAAAGCATGTGAACTGAAAAAACTATGAACTGCCTGCAGGCTTATTGCTTCAATTTTTAATCATTTAATAAAAAGATATTTTTGTTTTGCTGATGTTTTGCTGTGTACCTTGTGTGATTGCATGCAGGAATCAGGTTAATGACTAACACAGGGCTTTCGTACACTGGAATGGCAGGAGCCCTAAAAGCCTTGCAGAAAGCAGGTGGGTGTGCATTGCATCCCAAATGAGATCATTCAGAGGAGGCTCTCAAGCCTTTCAAGAGTGAGGTCAGGTATCAAAATGCAGCGGTGAGGCATCCAGAATTGAGGTGGAGTGATATAACAGAATAAAGTATTAATGAAAGGTCCATCTTTTCTCTGCTACGTCTGTCTGGTATCTGGGGAGTGTGTTTGCCCAAATATGTGTATTTTTTAGAAGGTGATGGATTGCAATTCTTCCAAGCTCTGATTACTTTCAGGTCATGAATTTTTGTACAAGCGCTTTATTTTGATTTAGCGTAACATTTCTATTATAACAAAAATGTTGAAATTATTACTTAACTGATTTTCTGTGAACGTATAATTTTGGTTTATCATCTCCAGTTAATTGAATCTTATTACTGTATGCTGCTTAATTGAACAAATGTACACTGTGCCATTCACTAAGTGAACAAGCATATAATGCACTTACTGTACACAGTGTGGGGATTAATGCTATGAAAGATGTGAAATTTACAGTTAAAATGATCTTCTCAGGGAAAAGAATAATTAGAGTTTAATAATGATAATTATATATAATTTAATGTTAGTGACCAGAGTAAAAGCTTTAATACTCAGTATCTAACTGGTCCACAGATGTGTTCTTGTACTCAATAGAGCATAAGCTTCAAATACATGTGCAAGAGGTGGACAGATATGAAAGAGGCATTTTATTCTATTAGGTAAAGCCTTCAGTTTGTGTTGAAACAACTGTCAGTAATAACTTAACAATTTGGAATTAAAATAAAATATATCTGTTAAAAGGGGAAAAAATTGTAGAATCAATGTTGTTATTTAAGATTCTTTGCTCTATTTTTCAATTTTCAATAGTAATGTCAGAAAACTTCAGTTGTTGTATTTGTAGTGTAGATGAGATTTTGTATCAAGAGCCGCCAGACATCTAGACAATGTTGTTACAGAACAATACTCTTAGGATTAGGTGCCAAAAATAATTGGGGGAATCTCAATGTCTTGATTACCAGGGAAGCTGGAAGTGGATCTGAAGTAGTTTGTGTTTAAATGTGCAGAGAGTGTCTGCAAAGCTGAGTAGCATCCATTAAATAGTTAATTTTACTCCTGACTGCCAAGAAAATACATTGGACATATATTAAATTGTTAGGTTTGTTCTGTTTTGTTTTAATATGAGATGGTTTAAATGTTCAATTTTTTTATTTTTTTTATTTTTTTGATTATTGGTTTTTGTTTTTTGTTTTTTTTTAGGATTTTTAGTTTGCTACCTAAATTTACCCTGAAATTTGACAAAAGATAAAACTAAAGCTTGATTTGTGACTTAACCTACATGGACACATCTAAATAAAACACCTCATCTAAAGACTCAGCAGAAGAGTGTACTTTAAAGAAAGGTACTGGAAATAAAGGACATGTTTCCAACATGTAAAATCCTCATTGATGTTCTCAGTTCTTCTCTGCTTCCATTGGACTTGAAATTGATGATCTTGTTAAGAAGTGCCATCAGCTCCAGGATGGGCATGCCGTGTCATAGGGAGGGCAGGGCAGGGAAGCTGATGTTCTGCAGCTGGGAGTCACCTGGAAACGCTTTGTTTTTGAAGCAATGTCAGTGTTCTCCCTGTAAGAGTGACTTCCAGCTGTGGTTTTATTCTAGAATCTGATGGTGTTCATGTACTTACATCTTCATCTCTTCCTTTCACAGTCTGGAGAGCTTCTCTCTCCAGATAACTGAGAGGATAAGGGTTCCATACAAGAACTCCTTTAAAAATAGTTCCCCTGCCACCTTTCCAAGTGGGAAAAGTTTGTCTGTTTCATTGAAAGATGTTCCTCTACACATGTGCTTCACTAATGAAAAGAGAGATGAACAGAATGATTTTTTTCCTAACTTTACCCAACTGCTTTAGCAGATTATGGAAATTTCCAATTGCCTCCCCATCACTACAGTGTTACATTGCACTGTGTTAGATCACATGTAGTTCCAATCTGTAGGCAGAGGCCTTTTGAGAAGAGGAATAAAGAAGACAAAGCTTGCTACTTCAAAACTAGATCAACCAAGTAAAAAGCCAATGAACCTGAACTAGTAGAGTAGGAAGTAGTCCATAAAGTAGGAGTTTGGACTGAATAATGCTAGTTGTGTATTCCAGTGAAAATTTCTGTTAATGGAATACTCATGATGAACTATCGAGGTGACATGAGCACTGGGAACATTGACTGTTTTATTTAGAAATATTTCCTGTTACTGTTGGGGAGGCATCAGTATGCTGGTTGTATCATGACTGAGTGCTGCTAACATTCCGGGGGTGAATGGCACAGAGGATACATTGCTTTTGAAAGCTTGTAACTTCTGAGTCATGTAGCTTTTAAGGATTCTGATTTCTGAAGTCACAAGAATTTATTTTTTTGAGATTATAGTTGTTTTCAGTCTCTTTTATATAAACAGCCTGTTTTAGATTCATGCTGCAATGTATGGTGTCATTAGATACTTCTAATCAAAAAGAAAATCCAATTTTAATCATACAGCTGTTAACTTCATAAAGACAATTGAATGATAAAGCTTGTTGAGGACCTGCATTTTTTAAGTTCATATTTTGAACAGCTTAAGAGTAATCAAGCCTTTTATTTTTAGATTAGTTTGTTTGAAAACATAGAGGATGCCTATAAAGGTTTTTACAGTTTATGTGCTTTGTAAGTACTAAGTTAGTATTGGACATCCCTTTAGGAAAGAATAGCTAGTAAAAAGTTACAAATACAAATTGTTTTCAATTAGATGCTATTTTCAGTAGAATTTGGTACGGATACTTGAAGTAAAATTGAGTCCTGAAGTTCTATTAGTTTTTTTTATATGCTTGTTTCTTTATTGATAATTCAAAAGTTGGATGTTAGTCCTGCTTTAGTTTTTATAACTGATGAAATCCATATGTTTATGGGTTGGATTGTTGCTTCTTTTGTTTGTTTTTTTTTTATTATTTCAATTTTTTTTTTTTTTTTTTGCTGGACATGTCATACTGTGAAATTAATTCTTAATCTTAACTTCTTAGATTTAACAGATAAGTTTTGCTATTTCCTTTTGTGCTGAGGATGGTGGTTTGTGTTTTTTTATTGTTTCTGTGATTGACAGCAGAAGCCTAATTTCACAGCTTGCAGTAAGGGTAAAGGGGTGGTGGTTTTCTGCAGCTATATTCAAAAACTGTCAATCAAAAGCCTCCATAGGCTACTTAGAGAATGGGTTTTCTTACTGATTTCTCCAAATGCTGCTTCATGCTGTCTTTGATTGGCACAGCCTGGCAGGGAGGATGGATGAATCTGTCACTGGTCAGTTAATTGTGTTGCTGGTCTCAGCCTGACATCAGGTCTTTGACTCTTAAGTGGCTCAATGCAAAACAAATTAGAAGATTGTAGTCATATTTCTCTTTCTGTATGCTTTGACTTTGTTGAATGCAGTCCATAAATCATATTGACTGACACCATAGTGAATGATGAAAGGTGCTTTTGAGACACTAGCGTGGGTCTTAGAAAGCAGTGCTGCGGAGGTGCCATGCAAGGATGCATATGGCTGACCCTTTGGGAATTTCCTAGGAGCCAAATGTCTCTTCACTGCAATTGTTCTTAAGAGAAAAGCTTTTGGGTCCTATAAAAAGGATTTAATATGTCAGCAGATTCTCTTTATAAGCTCCTTTGAAATATAAGAAGTTTGTCTAAGGGTTTTCTTTTTTTGAAAATTGTATTTCAGCAAAATGTGAAGGCTGGCTCAAAAAAAAAAAAAAGAAAAAAAACGGTTGCCCTTAACACTGTTAGCAGGTGTTTTTGCTTATAGAATAGGGTCCTTGTTTCCTAAACTTTGCATTGGTTGAGTGGAAGAATAGGTTTTGTAGATAGCAGCAATTAACATAGGCATAGTGGAAATAATAGGAGGCAATACTGGAGCAAATGTGAGAAGGCTGCTGAATCTCCGCATGCTATTGAATGTTGATATTTCTTTGATACAAAAAGTTGGCACAGCCACCCACTCTCAAAAAAAAAAGAGAAAAAAAAAGTGTTTTAAAACTAAATGAAATTTATTTCACTGTGGAAAAGAAATATGTGATTTTTTTTTATGTTCACAAATCCTCAAATTTTCTCTTCAAAATGCATTATGAAAAAAAAAATAATTGATCAATTGGTGGATGATGGAAATTTGCAGAGGGATTTTAACTGGAACTTGTCTGTTGAACACAAATTTGGAATTCATTCTTTTCTGAATGTTGTACATTCAGAAATGTTGTACTGAATTTTGAGGAGGGTAACAATAAAGTTCGTATTTATCTGAGGTAAAATTCAGCATTTAGGTTGATGTGTCTAGCTTTCTCCAGATTACAAAAAATTGAGTAATTGTGTTAAGTATAAACTATGTGTGGTAATCTTCCATTACCTGCCATGTGAACAATAAGCCTGTAGTTCAAGTTGCATAGTTGGAAGTAGTTGAAATGTTAGGATGTTTCCATCTGCAAAGTCTTACAAGAAACATTAAATGTACATGTATTGATATTTATTTAAAGTCTAAGAGACTTTATCATGTCATTTTTGTATTGTAACCATTGTCTTGTGCTCCAGTACTATTGATATTTGCCAGATTGCAACAATTAACTACAGATGCTTATCAGAAAGATAAAATTCTGTTTTTGACTAATAATAATAGGAGGAATACACATTGTTTGCATATAAAATAAAGTAAATGTTAATTTTTTTCTGACAACCTATTAATCTGATTGAACTTTTATTACAGTATAGAGGCAGCATAAATAGGACATGGAGCTGATTTGATGGAGCAGTACATTAAATAGAGATGCACTAGATGTTCCATTAAATCAAAATGACATTTCCATTAAGTATTTGAAACCTACTACACAGTAATTAAATGAACTGTGGCCCATTGATTGCCCTCCTCACCTCTTTTTTTCTTCATTTTCTGTTTTTTTTCTGTCTTTTTTTTTTTTCCCCCATTCATATTGATATTGTTCTGCTTGGGGAATAGAGCCGCATGTCTCCCAGTGTAATTACCATTGGATTTGGGAGACTTTTAAGCATGCTGTTCTTGCATTGTTTCTTGCATTCCTTGTTGTCAGTTCATCTGTTTTAGTCAAAAATGTTATTTGCTTTTCTGAGGTGTTTGAACTGACATCTCATTTTAGATATAAAGCTCCTAGCAGTTCGAGGTATTATAAAGCTTTTTATTTTAAAGAGGTATTAGCAAAAGCCATTTAATGTGTGCATGAAAATTCAATAATATGTACAGTTCTTCCTGTTTAGGACGAAATCTTCAGATGCTAGAGTAGAACTTCACAAACTTCTTGAACAGTGAACTGCTGTCAGTCCTTAGCACTTCTCATGGCTTATGTGTGTTTCTGTGAGGCGACAGTGAATTGACCATCCTGATCTTGCACAAAGCAGTTGGGGAACCATTGCTTTAGAGAATAGTTGTCATCACTTTACTGTTGGGTAGCAGTAAAATGGCAGTGGTTTATGTCCCCGTAGGTGGAGTACATATTTATGATTTCTTCCATGTAAGCATGTAAATAGTTACCTTTGTTTCAGTGCACATTGTAAACATTTGCATTAACTGAAAAGCATGGTGTAAGCACATAAAACCATAGTTTATTATAATTCCATTTGCAAACCAAGATCTCTGTGCTTTTGAAGTTTGCAGTGCTATGAATAGAATGTTGGCATCTGATTGAGTATCTGCTCTTAATTGGTTTTTCTTCTATAGCAGAATTTCCATATTTTTTATAATTTTATGTACTAAAATGTTAATAATTTGTAAAATTAACTTCTGATTTTTGTGATTTGTTTTATTGTTCTCTGGTCTGGAAATGATTTGTCTCAATTACTCATAAGTTGTGAAGAGAAATGTTACTAACTAGCCTATGATTGAAAAATTATTTCTATTCTGTACAGCAGAGGGCTGCGTTTCATTTTGTACATGGTTGATTACTGACAGCACTGATTTATTAAGCACCCAAAAAGATGATAGATATCATCTATCATCTAATATAGATATTTCAATAATTCATCAACCATCTTTGAGATGAAGTTCAGGCAACTAAATTGTCCATGATTAGAGTAAGCTGCTATGAGAAATGCCCCAATTGAAATCAATGGTTTTGGTTAATATCTCTTTTTTTTTTTTTTTTTTTAAATGGCTATTGTTAAAAATATGTAGCAGGTTGGTATACTTTTTTGCTTTCATTCTATCTGAGTGAAAAAAAAAAAAAAAATTCATACTCATGCATCCACAGCTTATATTGTTATTATGCTCTTCTTTATTTGGAAATGTCCTTGTATCCTTGAAGGCTGTTGGATTTCTGGAAGACGTATCAATAATTGTTTGACATCCATTTAATTTAGTTTCCTAATTGATTTAATAGAAACAAAGCTAACAGGCCAGAGAAACAGCCAAAACTGTGATCATTCTTCTTCTAATCTAAGTCCTGCATCATTAAGACTTTGAGCATATAATAAAATCAAACCAGATAAGCTGTTCCTTAGTAATATATCATTTGTTTCTATCTAAAAATGTGTTGCTCTTTCTATTAGGGAAAAGTGGCCCAGACAGCTTGCATGTCAGCCTGCCAGCATCTTTCAACATCTCTAATGCAGATGCTACTGGACACTGAATTAAAACAAATAAGCATGGGAGCAATTCAGCAGTTTAATTTAGATGTGATACAGTGTGAATGTAAGTAGATGTTCTGGTATTCTTACCTATGTCTGTCTTAAAATTACAAAAGAAAGTATTTAATGTTAACCATATAGTCATCTTTTTCTATAATCTACTAAAGTTTTGCCAGTTTGTTGTTGCTGTTTTTAATATGATTTAGTTACAATTTCCTTTAAAAGTACTTACAAGTAAGTAGGCTAACAATTTTGGGAAAAAAATTAAGATTTTTTTTTTTAAACTTTAGTATCTGATTGAAGTATACAACCTTTGCTACTTCTAATGAAATCATGGTCACTACATCCAGTAAAAAGATGACTATGGTCTAGCACAGAATTGACCAGAAATACTACATAAATATTATGATTGTAAAGTTAGGCACAAAAACGTCACATGTCTGTGAAATTTTAATTTTCCCACTTGAGATGATTTATTACAGTATTTATTACAATACAAATTTTAATTGTGCTGTTACAAACAGTTTTCTCCTTCCTAGAACCAATGCTTGCTCACTGTGCAGTGGTAGTGCTCATTTAGTAGACATCAACTCACTATTCAAAATATAGTATCAGAATTATTTAATAAAACTGGTTGAATCTAGCACCGATGACGGGATTAATTTCCCCATGTTCTACATGGAATTCACAACTGTAAGATGAGCTTTTACTCTGTATTAAGAAAGTAATTTCATAACGTTCTGATGTGAGTAGATTTTATGCCTATTTTCGCTGATGGCTGAGGTGCACTAAGAAGGCTCGCTAGGACTTCTTTAATGCATATCTTTAGTCTCTCATGCTCTGTTTGTTGTTGTTTTGTATTTTTTCCCCAAATTATCTTTCCTCTTATATGTTTGAGGCACAGATCTCAGTGATTTTAGCAACCTCTCTAGAATGTGGCAGTTCTGTGTATCTTCTTGTGTTTAGCTTGGGCACATGAAAAAGAAACCTGATGTCTGCTCAATTAACAGCCAGCTATGGGTAATTGGAAATTTGTTTTCAAGTAATTTAGTTAGAATCACAAAGGATTCTTGTGGGATTCCAGGGGCAAAGGTAATAGAAATTTTTGATGCCCACATGCACATCTTTCCACTTCCTACTCTATTTGTTACATTCCATTTAAAACTCTGCGGCAAGAAATGAAGGCACCTTTCTGACAGGCCCTTCGTATTGCAGACTTACGGCTTTTCAGTGCATGAGGTGAACTGACAGGATTATCAGGATCTGTTTGGAAAAAAAAATACAAGGGCTGCTCCGACAGTAATGCCTCAGATTTTATTCTGTTGGCCCACGACATCAGAGGTGAATATTGGTGGTATGGCAATAGAGATTAAACTTTCCCACTAGTATTCCTTTAAGTGTTGTGACAGATGGCAGCAGAGGGGCACTGATACCATGGTATCTGACATGGAAGTGCATATGAAGCAAAAGTGTGAAACTGAATTCCTCCATGCAGAAAAAATGGCACCCACTGATATTAGTCAATGCTTGCTGAATGTTTATGGAGTCCAAACAGTGGATGTGAGTGAGGTGGGGGTGGTGTATTTCAGCAGTGGCAATAGCAGTGTGAAATACAAGCCATGCTCCGGATGGCCATGCAGATGTTTACAAGCATGGCATGCAGGCTCTTGTTCACAGCTGGTGAAAATGCATAACTAATGATGGTAACTATGTTGAAAAACAGTGTTTTGTAGCAAAGTATTTACCCATTTTGTACTCTTTGTATCTGTTGTAGTTTCTAAATAAGAGGCATTACTTTCGGAACAACCGATAATATTTGCGATCATGACGTTAAGGTTTGTCCTAGGATGTGATTGCACCAGTTGGCCGCAGATGATGTTTTGATGTTTGATTCTTAGTGCATTTGATAATGCAAATGTAAGTGTTCTTTTCTAGTAGATGGGTAGGGCTGTGTGCATGTGCATTCATCTGCATTCCCAATTTTAAAAAAAGATTGTGGCTGTGAAAGCAAACTGCATAATATTCATAGTGCTGACACTGAATAGTTCACCTAGACAGGCTGAACTGGTGCATCCACTACGCAGTCATTTGCCTTCTGGACAAACAGCATAATAGCAGAGAGTGCTTGCCCTCTGCCTTGTTATTCTGTTTCTAATGTCTGAAATATGTACAACTGCAAATAGATTAAACTGTAATTGTTTCTTTTTACAATGCTTTTAAAGCATAGTAGAAAAGGAAAATGGTTTCACACAGAAACCCTTTGGGATGCTTGAAGATAACTGTGGCAGCTTGGCCAAATAATACTCTGCAGTAAATGATGTCTTACCTTCTGATTCTATGATTCTGTGGAATAAGGGATTGGCACTGGGTGTTGTTCAGAGACTGCTTTGCTGTTGCAGTTTCATTCATAAGGTCCATCACAGGCACATTCCAGGCCTCACTGTGATGCCTGTGATTTATGTTCTTGTTCATCACTCTCTCCCAGCTTTATTCTTTGACACTTTGAGATTAATGGGTACAACAGAGACATTTCAATTAGTGCTTAGTGTGTGCAAATAATTCACAAATATCAGGTAGTTTTCTACTGTATTGTATACATGGATTTGACATTTTAGTTATAGGCAAGGCAGAGTATACTGAGATGCATTCTGAATTAAGAATTCATGTGAATATAGAAAGTTCTGAATATTTGAAGATGCATTTTTAATACATTCTTGACAATGTTCTAGATATTTGTTTTGATCTTTAAGATTGCATTCTTATTATTTCTAGTATGAAATGGGGGAGATCTAGATAAATGCAGGAAAATGTGATTACTAGTCAGAAAAGGCAATCGGCAGTCTGATAACCAACGCAACTATCTGTTCATAAGCTCTGAAGTCAGTAAATCTTAAAATTCATAAGAATCGTAGTAACCAGGTAAAATGATAATTGGACTTCCAGGAAATTAAGGTGGAAGAGAAGGAGTTTATCTTGTGGTGATCACTGGGATTTCATTATTCTGCACTTCATTTCTATGAAAAGTACCTGAATTTGAGAGGCAGAGCAGAAAATCTGAAAGTATCTTCATGATGCTTTTGCATAACAGTAGTATCAGATGGTCTTCTTGGTTGATTTAAAAATAGTATTGATCGTCTTGCGCTGTTCTTCAGTTTTGCATATTCCTTCCAAACGTTACAAAAGCTAAAAGTTTGATTTCAGAATATCTTGTTCTAATTGAAGTATTTTCCACGCTCTCTACATATTTATGAACTGGAACAGTGTTTTACTTTTGTTTTTCATGTCATTCTTTCTTAATAATGATCTTCCATTAGGATAATTAATTTCTTACAACAGTGTTCAGAAAAATATGTGTATGTATTAGTTTCCATTGAAGATAACCCAGTGAACATGCCTTTGCCTGTACATTGCACTTCAGTGTGCAGAGGAAGAAAATGGGTTGGGAAGGAGAGGCATTTGCTATTTCTTTGGAATTCAGATATGTGTTGGTGTATCTCACTTCATGAGAAGCAAGGTGTAAATAATAGCACAAGAGCTTTCTAGACACAGAGATGACTTTGAGAACGTGTGCTGTTTGTGTTAAGGAATCAAAAATCTACAACAATCCAAAAGCCTTTGAACAGTGGTATTTACGAAATGCGGGGATATAGAAGTATCTTTCTGATTGTCAAAGACATATGTTGGTAAAATACTGTATGCAATTTAATATAGATTTTTAAAAGATGAAAATTTTATGTAGAATGTTGTATTACAAAGTGATTGTATATATTTCTCTGACTCAGACAAAATGCTTCACAGCTGTATTATTACCCAGTCATTTTGCTGAAGGGATCCAAACATACAAAAATATGTTGGCTTCTTCTCCACACAGATAGTTTTTACACTGTGTTTTCTGCTTTCACAGAAATAAAGACATGTTTTTTGATCCAGTTGGTACATGCTCAGGGACATGATTTAGTGGGGGGTTGTCGGGGTAGTATGGTTAGGTTGGGGTTGGACTTGATGATCTTTAAGATCTTTTCCAACCTGAGCAATTCTGATCCTGTGATTCTATAAATACAAGTGTAGATAACTTCCTTTTGCTTTAAAGTTCACACTGCAATTTAAGTGAACATAATTTGCTTTAATTTACCAGATCTAGATACCTTAAGTAGGACTGTTCAGAAATTCTAATTGTTGGAAAATTTATTAGTAGCTTTTGTAATACTTGTGTGCGTTTTAATATAGTTGAAGTCTATAGTTGAAGAGAAAGGATCAATTAGCAGGAGGGACAATTGAGTGGGCTTCCTTTTTCATCCAGCCATGAGTCTATGCAATGATGGGAAGGTTTTTAACTTTGACTGTCAGCGAGGGTGAAAGAAATTCTGGGACAGCATCAATTAGCAGACAATTAGTGCAAGGCAGGTTGCAATATACCTTCCAACCAGTGCACTGTATTGAGAGTTGCGGTGTCCAAGAGCAAGTGGGATTCTTGACCCATGCGCTCTCTATTGACCATACATAGAGGTGATCTCCAGGTGAGTATGCCAGAAACTGAGGAACTCAAATCCTGTTTTCTCTTGAAAAAACATAGTTCTCTCCTCCAGAGGCCCCTCACTTTACCTGCTTGTCTTCCATATACAAGGCCAGGTCAACTAGGCTCACTTGAGACCATCCTTCATCTGCTGGCCACATATGGCAGCAGAGGAGCAGGAGAAGCAGTGATGCCTGGCAGTGCTGGGGGAGGGCTGGGGCTTGGCAGCTGGTGGCCCTCTCAGTGTGGCTCTCCTCAGCCTGTTTGAACAGCTGGAGCATCCAGCAGGGCTGCAAAGTGGCCAAAGACTGCTCCAGTATTTGCCCATTCTCTGCTCTTCATTTAAAAGTATAGTTGCAGCTCTGCCTTTTACTTGAAAATTGATACTATGACATGAGGAAAGCTCTAATTCAGCTTTTGATCCAAAGTCTGGCCCTGATTTTAATTTCTGTAATTGAGCTGCAAACTGTCAGAAAGTAAGATAAGTACTGAATTCCCAGACCAGCAGAGCATACATGAATGATAACCAAAGGACTGTGTTTTGAGAGAATACAATGAAGGGACCTGTTAATAAATCCAGAAGTGCATAGAAATTCATTACTACTCGCAGATGTCTTCAATTCTATTTTAGCAGACACAAACTTTCTCGTAAGATATCCATCATATATATATATATATATGTATATACATATATCATCATATATATATACATATATATATATCAGTTCACATATAGCCTGTATACAAAATGTAATGAGAAGAGCAAATGAAATGCTTAAAATAGAGTAAAGCCATCTTTGCAACATTTAAGTTTACCATACTTGTGTACCTGTTAACTCATAGCCCATTTTGTATTGTTAAATCTTTTTTTTTCTTTTTTTTTTCCCATTGGATTCTGCCTCCTATAAATTCCAAACTGGCTGTTACAAGGACTGTATTTCTGTGCTTAACAGTGAGGAGCTTGGGTGTGCTGTGACCACACATTTTACCACATATCCAGCCTTATATACTCAGAAAAGGACAACATGATGTTAACAAAGCGCAAGGAAAATGGTTATAGCAATATCTTTGTGAAGAGCAGATTCATCTAATGCATATATTCAGCTTATTTTTCTGAAAGCATTGAAGTTTCTAATTCAAACTGCCAAGCAGTTATTTGTTTGCCCTTGTATTCAGTAGTCTTGATGGTGATCTTTGCATTTTCACTCTCAGATATTGTAAAATTCCTGAATGTCTTTATGCATGCTAAGGTAAACAAACAAGTAGCCCCCTACCCCTCCAAATCCTCTTTAAGATTAACATGAATGTAGGGGGTAAATATTTTTAAAGATCTATATATGACAATGTTTCATTACTATCTGGAAAAGGACCCTTAGGACAAAGACATTAAGAATGTTAATCCTGTTCTTATAATATCTTCCTAAAATGCTGTGCAGTAGAAAATATTTAATTAGCTTTGTAAAATTGTTAGCAAAACTTGAAAGCCCTGAGCTGAGGGAGTGGGACTGTCTGACTGTTACCATAAGTAGATTATCTTTTTGCCCTTTGAACTCATGAAATTTTAATAATGAAGAAAATTCTGCTGTAGTCACCTGTCAAAAATGACCCAAATATAAGAATAAATATTGTTGTTATCATGAATGCCCCCAGTGTCATAAATAAGTTTATAACAAAAAATTGTAATTAAAGAGAATGGAGCATAGACAGTAGTTTAGTTTGAGGCCTTTCATGCTTGCTCTGTAGCTACCTGAGTAGTAGGTGCTTTCTAGTGAAAAAAATATTGCATTATTAAATATATTAGGGTAAATTCCCAACTATGTTAGCTGCATGAGCAGTATCCAGTTTGTTGATTGCTTAAGACAATAAGCATAAGAAAAATTCTCTTCAACTCTTTTGAAGTAGAATGTCTTACGTGAGTGGATGTATAAGGCAGTGGGTGTTTCTGTGAATGTCCCTTATGAATGTGTGACTGGGATAAGAACATGAGAACTACCAACTGAGTGAGGCTAAGGCTCCCTTTAACCAAGCATCCTGTCCCTAGCAATGATCAGTGACAGTATTTAGAGAAGATCATAAAACACCAGCTGTTTATTGAGTGGCCCCTCCTTTTGCAGATCCATCTTCCAGCAGTACATAGGGATTTAATGAACAGTGTATTCAGACTATTCTGTTTAATTGTTGTGGAACGGCCTGTATTACAAATATACATTTTTTACATTTATACTTGTTTCTCATTTGTATTTCTGTTACGCACAACCTGTCTTGAGAATGAGTCCCATAATGTACTGTGTTCTATGAAAAAGTATTTTGATTTGTAACATTCTCTCCATTTATTTCATTGTCTATTATTTCTTGTGTTAAGAGAAGCAGTAAGTCAGTGATAGTTTCCTTTTCATCTTTTTGCACACAGTTAATGACTTCCTTGACTTTGGTTATTAGTCTACTGAAGTACTGCTGTCTGAAGGGCTGGATGGAGTTCATGAGCAGGCCTTCTGATCATATATAAGACTACTGATTACATAGCACGTGCCATATTGTGCCTGATCTCCAACTTTTTAAATGTTACCATCATACAGCTTTTTACTTCTTTACGTTTAAGAGAAGGCAGTGCCTGGACATGGATACTTTTCAATATGTCGGCTATAAAATTTCATCCCATCAGTGCTTCTTTTGAGTACATCCTGAAGCCACCTGAAATGTCAGGACATTTTGCTGAGCTTGTGTTCATGTGATTTTCACGGAAGGAAGTGGGAAACTGCTGAAGTCTTAATTTGATAGCTCTCTGTGACATGAACAAAGGAGGGGGGCATGATGGAAAGCTTTGTTGTTTTCTCTTTCCTGAAAGCATTGAACTTCTTTACAGTGCATCAATGCTTTCTGATATTTCTTGATTATTAGTTTAGCTATGATGTACTACTTTGGGGATTTGTAGTTTTAATGAATTTCTAATTTTACTATTTTCACTTAATAATAACAGAAATCTGTGATGTTACCCTTTTATAGATTATTGACTTTTCTTTAATTGCCTTCAAATTGCATATGAAAATAAAATAAATAATAAAATCATTAATTTTTAGGTTTGAAAATCTTTGAGGTTTCCTAACTTAAATAAATAGCTGGTTTGTTTCATACGTATGTGTTATTTTTTGTACTTAGCTGATAGCTTTACCTTCCAATTTTGTCAGTCTGTTTTTGGGTTCAAGAAGAGCAGAAGTTCATTGTCATGAACAGACATTTCAGTTCTGTTCTGACTGTGGCACTTAGAGCTTTCCACCTGTCGTCCACACATTTAACAAGCTCTCACCTTATTATCTTTCATTGCTGTTTGGATAGAGGTGGTGTTTTATAGAGCAGATGCTGTAACAAAAGCAGATGTTTGAAAATATGTTGACAGCCATGGAATTGGTGTTATTTCAAAATATCTCAGTAATCACTCACCTCAGGCTGAAAATGTGAAGTTGTTGGCTTTAATGTTTGTAAGATTGTTGCTGGTTTAGAATTATAACCTAAATGTCTTCCTAAAGATATTGTTCTTGGAACGCTTTGTTTGTTGGTTCTTTTGTTTTTAATTAGGGTGGGTTAAATAGTTGTAATGTGTTTGCATCAAACTGATTTCATTTTAATGCTAGCTATCATTTATAATGCATAGTGCTAATTTTTATGTTAGATTATAAAAAATATACATCCATAATTTTGATCTTTTTCTTGCAGTGTTTGCTAGTTCTGAGCCTGTGCCAGGATTCCAGGGAGACACCCTGCAGTTAGCTTTCATCGACCTCAGACAAGTAAGACACTAGTTGTTGTTTTTTATCCTACTAATTTCCCCTTTTGACCAATGCTGGAGTTATTGAATTTGAGAACCTTTCATGTTTTAGCATTCCCATGTAATTGGTTTTGAAAAGCAGTTACTAGTGGCACTACTCCCTGTTACTTAGTATAAAACTATTTTTTCAAGGTGGTGTTGGGGGGCACCGTTGTACTGGTGGTATTATTACATGGATGTAACATTGAATTTTGGTCCTGACTGTTTTGTAAAGATCCTGCAATACTTTTTTTTTTTTTTTTTTTTTTTTTTTTTTGAAAGAGTACACGTTACCCTGGTGTGCTGTTACTATTGTTTCATTCTGAGCAATTGTTCCTTTCTAGGGAATGACTCCCTGGAGAGTAGAATCAAGCATAGTATTAATGTTTCCTTTACTTAGTACATATTCTTTTAAACAGTTAGAAAGTCACTTTATTCCAGCCAGCTGATCTTTATTCTATACCAAAATTAAGTTAAAGTGCCTTGCTATTGAAAACACTTTTTCTCAGTTCTTGTCTAAAGGAAGGATGTTTTCCAGACTAAAGTTAACTTATCTTAATTTCATGTAGTCATTTCTATTCCCTGCTCTCTGAATTCTGATAATATATCCAACCATAGTAATTCATTTTCATAAACCTTTCACACTTGAAGTAAATTTTAAAGAATTTGTTTCACAAAATTTCAAGTACAAAGTGTTATTTAAATAGTGAAATGGAACATTAGCTGCGCAAGGAGGCTCTTTAGCTTTCTGCAGATGCTGATAAGATTTTTCAGCACCATTATGTGTCTGTCATAGTCATCAGAAAAGAGTAGAAATGCAAAATTATCTATGTAGTAAGAACATGTTTGCTTTTAATAGTTTGGTAGTTTCTTTTTCACAGTAAGATAATAGAAAGGCATTTCAGAAGGGAAAGTTCCCTTGGCAACAGTGTTCCGATTTCTCCTGATAATTGGAAAGGACTAAGTATATTTTTAAATGAGAAAGTTTAAAGCTTGATTTGCCCATTATATTCTTAGCAGTACATAACATAATGAGCAATATCTACAACGGGATAAGCCTAGCCTGTCTGAAAAGAATGTAGGATCATGGCCATAAGATTCATTAATGAGATACCTAAATACTAGGAGCACCAGACTTCAACATATTTGATAGTTTAAGTCTGGCAAAGTACAAATCTTGCCTTGACTAATGACCTTCCTCTTTTGGTTTCTCTTTTATTCTCCTTTTATTATCAGTGTTAGAACTGACTAAACATATTCCAATTTGTACAAAGACAATTTACTTAAAGGGAAAGAATGTTGAGAGATTTTTGGCATCATTTCTTTCATCTGCCAGAGCATTATAAATCTTTGTGGAGCCTATGTTTGTTCCAAGGGAAAATGTGATTTCCAGCTATGCAGAAGCATATGCAGCTATGCAGGGTATGCACGTACTTGCTATGGGAAATAAATAATATTCTGTATGTATTAAGTACCAGCTGTTGAGCATATCATGTAAATAGGGATTATATTGCCTGTGATAGCAGTCAGTTTATTTTAGCAATTTACATTTAGAATTCTCTTGATGCAAATAACATTTTGTAGAGAACACTCTATATCCCATGGATATAGTATTGATTTTGAAAGCTTTATAAACAGCAGAAGTGTAGGTTGCAATCTAAGCACGTACATATAAACAGGTCTGGTATATTTGTTTTGTTTTGTTTTTACCATATCATTGCATGTTTTACCAAAAGTGGTTAGATACTGCAAGACCACATTAAAAATAACACTTAGCATTTCATAAGCATTTGCAGTGTTTTCCATCTCTTTCTTATTTGTGATCCATTTCTATCTTAATAGAGTGGATGACAGTTCTTTTCAAGAATACTTAGAAAAGCAACAGAGCCTTTTTCAGAAAGTTCTTATAAAAGGTCATGCTTCTGTTTTTTAGTTTGAATTTGATACTTCTTCATGAATTGCAGGATATGAAAGATAAGGAAGTAGGTCCAGTGGTCAGGTTTTACCTGCCCACCCGGACTGTGCCCTGAGGTCAAACTCCTGATATTGGCTGTTTGGTACAGAGGAGCTGATGACAGGTAGGGGCTGATACAAGGGGGAAAGCTTGAACCGTATCAAAGCTAAAAGGCAAGAGATTTGGGACTCAGTGAGAGACTGTAACTAAAAGATGGATCAGCAGGATTGCCCTCTTCTTAAAAAGCAGCTGACCTGCAAGGGAAAAGACTTTATCGTCCTGCCAATCACATGCTTGCTAATGGAAGCCAGTTATCTCAACAACAGCTTACTCTCTCTGTGTTGTACTAAGACAATGTGTAAGATTAATGAGGATTGGGCAGTAGGATATTGTAGCACATTTTCCTAAAGAGGTAAAGCGACTTACGAGGAACAAGCTTGGAAGAAAGAGAGGGAAGAGCTACATTTGAATGATTACTGCAGGGAGAGAAGCAGATTTGAAAAGAATTGCCATTAGAATTTTCATCCTAACAGTTCCTGAAGGCAATGTATGAACAGTACGTTGTTCCCTGCAAGGCTTCCTTCCTTCTTCCCACAAATGCAAAAGAGCAAACAGAAAGTTGACATGAGAGAGTTGCTTCTGAAAAAACAAAAAACACAGTATTTGCAGGAAGTTGCAAGAAGCTGAGAATAGCAATGGGGCAGGCACTTCCCAGCGTCCTCTCTGAGCAGCTATTTCTTCTTATACTGTCTCCTCTTACACTTCCGTAAATACTTAATGTGTTCCTTAAAGAAGCTTACTAATCTGGAGAAATCCTGGTCAATAAAGATTTTTGTTCTCTTCCCATAACTTCAGTATCCCGGCATCCTACAGAGATGACTTATCCCATGCAGTTGGCTAATCACAAAAGGTGCATTTGTTCGCCATTCTATTTTCTTCTGCTTGGAGGAAGACTTTTGCGTGCATAGACTTCTTTCTAATTTAAATGTTTTGGTTGTATTCTGCTATTTATTTTTGGCAGACAAAACAGAAACCTTTTGGAGCAGGGCACAGTTTCTGAGGAATTTAAGAACTTATATGTCACATGATGTAATCCAGAAAAATTAATCCAGGATAGTTTCACATTCAGACAATCCGCTTTGTGCAAGTGATTGACGTAAGATGGAATAGTCCATTATATTTGCTTTGTGTGGATGGATATGTCACAAGTGTAGCCAAAAACCTGCTTGGCTTTTGCATCACTGTAAGTCATTGCATGACAGCCTATGAATTATCCTCCAAAGGATGTATGTAACTATGTAATATCATCCCTGCGCTGATAAGAAGGTATTGTACTTCAGACCTGTTAACACGGGCAGTGGCTATAGAACCATAGAATAACATACAGAAACTTCTTAGAGAGCTACCTAAAGTTTACTGCAGAGAGAATACTAATATACAATCCCCTCTACTAATTAAGAATCCAATGACCATGATACAAAAACTTGAAGCTCCAGCTAATTTAGCAGCTACTAAAGCAGCAAGCAGCTGTTAAGAAAATTTATATACATAAACATTTCTGTCCACATTTACACATCTCTGTACAGCTGTAATTGTGTCATATGCTTTTTGTTTTGAGGTTTGACTTGAGGTCATACCTGGGTGCACTATTTCATCTCCCTTACTTAAAGCATTGAGGAGCAAGCCAGCTCATCAAGGCGATTATCAAAGTGGCATGTGACTCTTTAAAGAGAATGCTCTTTGGCATCTCATGAAGATGACCCAGCTCACCTGTGACCTGCACTGCTCTCTGAAGATAATCTCTTGCTACTGACTATATAGGGAGCCTAGGTAAATAGTGCACTGGCCCAAGATGAAGTGGAATGAACTTCGGGGATTTTACTACCATTTCAGATCCTAGGTCAATTGGAATTAACCTTTGAAAGTAAAAAAGTCTTAGTTCATCCTACCTGAATTAGTCTCTGCCTTCTCCATGAATTAGTTTTGTCCTAGTTATGCTCTGTTCTTTAGTGTCCAAAAATTAGCGTTACTGTTCTGGAATGTGAGGCAGCTGCTTCTTGGATGTCCTGCACATTTAAACACTGTGGGGAGAAGGCCTCAATATTAGAATGTGTGTGCTCCTCTTTGGAGAGCCCATGCAGTGTGCAGTGGACAATAATGATAACCTAGTAGTAACCTTACAGATCCGGTTGTATGTTGTATCAGTAGCTGTAATTTCCCAGGGCAAATTTCATGCTTCTTAACTACCTGAGAGGAAATAAATGCCTCTTCTTGAAATAAAATCATTGCCTGCACAGTTACAGCCTAAGCTGCCGATTTCATTTTATTTTTTTTTACCATGGACTTCACAAGTGATTTCTCGTGCTTCTCTCCAACGTGACCATTGCTTCAGTTTCAGACAGGTCTTCCTCTACTGATTCATGTCAGAGAAGTACTAGGCTAGTTTGATGACTGTGAAATTTTCTTGTTTCAGCAGGGGTGTGAAGATAACTGTGTTTTCTCTTGGCAATTTAGGAGGTGACATTAGTATTCTCTAGTTGCTGTCAGTGCTGTTCCTGCAACAAGAATAGCCATCTGAAATGAAGCAGAATCAGGTGTTGTAGGTAACCACCAGGTTAGGAATTTCCAAGTTAAGGAACCACCACAGGAGTCACCACCCATGCGGTAATGTAGTTTACAGTCCCTAAATTCCTCAGAGGTGATGAGGGAAGTATTTTTCAGCTGTATATGTTAACATTCTGATAATATTAGACACACATTAGATGTAAAATTGTAATGTGATCAATGCAGTTAATATACAGAATAATGTGCCGTGGAAACATTAGCAGATACATTTCTCGGACTTCTATATATGTGTGTGAATAAGCATGCATTTCCATAAGCATAAGTAATTTTCAATGCACAATACGCTTTTTCTTCTAAAAATTTATATCATATTTAACAGCATAGTGCATTTTCTTTTGTTTGCAAAGCATAATGGAAACTGGATTAATAGTTTCTTGGGCTGTTTGTCCAGTTACTTTGTAATG